GTGTGTGTGTTACAGATAATGTTATCTGGTATTATTTTAACTGCAGCCTCCACAGACTGAGAATCACTTCACAAGAAAATCTGAAAAAACCTTCAAAAATGTATTTAATTCATTCAAAAAAACAATAAAATAAAACCTGAACTACATTTGTAAATGTTTTCGGGATATGTATCTCTTTTTGATTTGTCGTTTTGATTAAATAAGCTTTTAAAAATTAAATTAAATTGTAATAATATAACGTTTAGTTTGTTGATGTAACATGAACGTGCAATTAATTTAAATCGAATTTTCTGACTTTAGTTTTTCGGAGTTTATGAACGGAAACAGGATTCTATGACTGAATCTGTTCCAATAAAACACACCCCCAGAGTGTACCCTCACCCTCTCGCTGGCCTCCATCTTCTTCCCGCCCAGGAACCAGTCCACGGCGATGCCTTCATACGACAGCTCGCTCTCGAAGGTGGCCGTCTCGCCCGCCGTCACCGTGACGTCCTTCAGGGGCCGCAGCAGCCCGATGGAGCGCGCTGAGGAGCAGGAGGACATGTTGAGGACCAGCATGCATCTGGGAGAGGCTCCTCTGAGAGAGGGTCCTCACTCCTGATAAGGGCTAAAATAAACTCAGCAGCTGATTGGCCGATCAGCTGTCCCACTAACGCAACACAGAAACCCTGCTGTGAGAGGTGAGGGCGAACCAGAGTCCCCTCGGGACTATGTTCAATACCTTTAAATACCTTTAATAAAGTAAGGCAACTTTTCGAAAATTGCAGAATTGTCCAAAAGCTGCTCTAAAAATATACAAAATGATGAACATGCTCCACTTCTCAGCAACCACAGTCATTTAGCATTTATATCTTTCATCAGTGAGTGATTGAACCGAGTTTTACATCTGATAATAACAGCGCTCTGACCTTTGACCCTCAGCTGGGCGTTGGACTTGGCGTTGGCAGCGGAGAAGTCGACTCCTCCGGCCATATCCATCTTCACGTTGTACAGGATCAGCAGATGCTTCGTTCCTTCCTCCTTCATCTCCACATCCTGCAGGGACACAAGGAAGAACATTTAAAATACAGAGAGACAAAAGAGACATTTTGAATGTAGTAGTTTGTATATGTATAGTAGTAGTTTGTATATGTATAGTAGTAGTTTGTATATGTATAGTAGTAGTTTGTATATGTATAGTAGTAGTTTGTATATGTATAGTAGTAGTATGTGTACTCACAGCGCTCTGGTGCAGAGCCTCTCCCTTCAGTTTCCAGTTCCCGTGGACGTCCTCTTCTGAAATTTCCGTCTCAAACTTGGCTGTTTCCGTCTCTGTGACCTCCACGCTGTACAGCGGCCGGGTCACCTTAATGTCTCTCTCTGCAGGGGAGGGATATTAGACATCAGTAAGAGAAACAACAGAGACAACAAAGAGACCAAACTGTCTCATTAATCTGACATATCTGTCCGGTAATACTACATCTAAATCTCTGGCGTCCCTCAAGGCTCTGTGTTTGGTGCTCTCCTCTTTACAGTAATTTAACAGATGCTTTTGTTTATATTTATTTTATATATCTGCATTTAGAATTATTTATGTGAACCAAATCTTGAAATCCAAACATATAACTCTATGCTGATGATACTCCGCTCTTTAAGGCAGAAAGTGGAAGTGGATTAGAGGACATGAAGAAACTTAACATTCCTTTCGCCTCAAAGATGATCAAGTTTCAGGAATTCTGGGAAATGTTGGGGTATCTCAAAGACAGCCAGGAATCTTGCTCTGACTTTTGATGCTTCGATCTAACAGTCAATGCAACCTTGCTAAATGTTATTTAGTTGTTAACCCTTTATTTGACTTGGCTGATTTAGTGTTATCCCTTCTATATCACTGTGTATTACTACAGGCAGAAACAAGAAGCAGACAGAACCGTAAATGTAAATAAAGGCTATCCTTGTAAAATAAAGCAATGAAAGCATGAATAATGATGCTCTACCCTGATGGTACTCCGGTTCATACACCAGATGCTATCACCAGATGCTAACTCCAGATGCTAACCCAAGTATCTAGACTTCTGTCAAAGTCCTGACTCACCTTCAATATTGAGGTTAGCAGCTGTCTTGTCCGATCCGCAGTCGCAGGAGTACTCTCCGATGTTGGCCTTCTCCGCCTTCCTCACCATCAGGATGCGCTTCTTCCCGTCTGTACTGACCGCGATGTTCTTGGAGGGCGTGATCTCCTTCCCGTCTTTGAACCACTTCACGTCAGCGGTGGTTTTGCTCAGCTCGCAAACCAGCTTCACCTCGTCCTTCTCCACCGCCGTGTAGTTCTGCAGCTTCGTGGTGAAGTACAGGTCGCCCTCTGCACAGAAACACCTCAAAGTTAGAAACACAGTCTGTTTTCCTGAGCAACTGAAAGGACTGGGGTTCAGATACTGGGGTTCAGATACTGAGCCTCGCAAACTTGTCTGGATGATTTTAACTATCAGATAAGGCTTAAAGCTTCTCTGGATCTGTTCAATTAAAACATTTCCCAAATTGGGATCAATAGTACTATCTTATCTTATCTCAAAGCATCAGGAACAATGTGTAGGGAACCAATTCTCGCTGTATGATGTCCTTTTGTTGTTCTATTTATGTTTTTATGTTTCATGTGAAACTACTTGAGCAGGTATCCCTTGAAAAAGAGATCAATGATCGCAATGGGATTTATCTGTATAAATAAAGGTTTGAAATTAAATGAAAATGAATTGTATTTCAATCTGGGGCTTCTCTGCACTAAAGGGACTTTTCCATTTGTAGATTTCTGACACTCTGTTAGAAATTGCTTTAAACGTTTATTTTGTACCACCCAAACTCTCCTTATTAAAAGCGTCTGAACCTTCCCTCCCTCTAACCCCAGAAACTCCCAACAGGTCAGACACTGACCGATGACGGTGAGCATGGCGGTCACGCTCTTGTCCATGGCCTCCACTTTGATCATGGAGGTGTCGTCGATGGTGACCTCCTTGAAGGCCAGCGTGTGGACCTTCCCGTGGTCCGACATATGCACCACCTTGCTGGGGTGCAGCCGGACGTCGTTCTTGTACCAGATCACCGGCACCTTGTCGTGAGAAAGCTCCACGCTGAACTCTGCCGTCTCACGCTCCTTCACCGTCACATCCTTGATCGGCTTAGCAAACTCCAGCCGGATACCTGAGGCAGGAAACACAGGTCAGACATCGGGAATAATATCTTGTTAGGGGGATTAGTCTAACTAGGTACATTAGTCTAACTAGGTACATTAGTCTAACTAGGGGGATTAGTCTAACTAGGGGGATTAGTCTAACTAGGTACATTAGTCTAACTAGGGGGATTAGTCTAACTAGGGGGATTAGTCTAACTAGGTACATTAGTCTAACTAGGTACATTAGTCTAACTAGGGGGATTAGTCTAACTAGGTACATTAGTCTAACTAGGGGGATTAGTCTAACTAGGTACATTAGTCTAACTAGGGGGATTAGTCTAACTAGGTACATTAGTCTAACTAGGTACATTAGTCTAACTAGGTACATTAGTCTAACTAGGGGGATTAGTCTAACTAGGTACATTAGTCTAACTAGGGGGATTAGTCTAACTAGGTACATTAGTCTAACTAGGTACATTAGTCTAACTAGGGGGATTAGTCTAACTAGGTAAATTAGTCTAACTAGGTACATTAGTCTAACTAGGGGGATTAGTCTAACTAGGTACATTAGTCTAACTAGGGGGATTGGTCTAACTAGGGGGATTAGTCTAACTAGGTACATTAGTCTAACTAGGGGGATTAGTCTAACTAGGTACATTAGTCTAACTAGGTACATTAGTCTAACTAGGGGGATTAGTCTAACTAGGTACATTAGTCTAACTAGGGGGATTAGTCTAACTAGGTGCATTAGTCTAACTAGGTACATTAGTCTAACTAGGGGGATTAGTCTAACTAGGTCAATTAGTCTAACTAGGTACATTAGTCTAACTAGGGGGATTAGTCTAACTAGGTACATTAGTCTAACTAGGGGGATTAGTCTAACTAGGTACATTAGTCTAACTAGGTACATTAGTCTAACTAGGTACATTAGTCTAACTAGGGGATTAGTCTAACTAGGTACATTAGTCTAACTAGGTACATTAGTCTAACTAGGGGGATTAGTCTAACGAGGTACATTAGTATAACTAGGGAGATTAGTCTAACTAGGGGGATTAGTCTAACTAGGTACATTAGTCTAACTAGGGGGATTAGTCTAACTAGGGGGATTAGTCTAACTAGGGGGATTGGGATTAGTCTAACTAGGTGGATTAGTCTAACTAGCGAGATTAGTCTAACTAGGGGGATTAGTCTAACTAGGGGGATTAGTCTAACTAGGGGGATTGGGATTAGTCTAACTAGGTGGATTAGTCTAACTAGCGGGATTAGTCTAACTAGGGGGATTAGTCTAACTTGGTGTATTAATCTCGTACCCTGGATGACAAGCTTGCCGCTCGTCCTCTTGTCCTCAGCCTCGAACATGTACTTGGCTTCGTCCTCGTAGGCGACGGAGCGGATCTGCAGGACGTACATGTTTCCTTCCTGGATCATCTCGTACTTTTCGTCTTTCTGCAGCTCCTGCGTTCCCTTCAGCCAGCGGAAGCTCTTCGGCGCTCTCGACAGCTCCAACTCGAACCTCGCCGCGTCCTTCTCGTAAACGTTCACGTCGCTCAGCGGCGTCAGGAAGTTCATCGGCAGCTCTGATGAAGCAGAGGAAGGTGAGACACCGAACCACAGCACTACTTTCTGTCTCTAAGGACTACTTCCTGTCTCTAAGCACTACTTCCTGTCTCTGTGTATATAAGTACACAATAATTCAGATCCAACTCAAGCATTTCCCAAAAACCCAAATTCTTTTGGAATAAAGTGGTAAATTCATTTAAAGAAAACTATAAATCAAAGTTTATTTATATAGCCCAATATCACAAATGTACATTCAGGATTGACTAATCCCAGAGAATATTAAATGTTGTCTCGTTAACGGTTTATCGTCTCTCTCTGTCGTCTCTTAGAGCGTTGTTTGAACTCTAACCCTCGGCATTAACTAGATTCTGATTACTGCATATTTTTAGTAATTTAAACATTGCTTCCTGGTTAGACTTCTGGTAAAGGAGGTGTATGATCTGTGGCTCACCTTTGACCTTCAGGTTGGCGGCACACTTGGCGTTGGCAGCGCCGTACGCCACCTCGCCCGTCATGGCCACCTTGCAGTTGTAGAGGATGAGAGTGTGTTTTCCTCCCTCCTCGATGATGTCCACATCCTGTCACACACACACTAGTTAGTCTCTGACATGGATCTATAATAAGAACTGGATACAGCGTCGTTCATTCCTTTGAGAGCTGCCCATTGGCTCATGAGGACAAAATGGCCTGAGATTCTCGAGTGCAAAACGTCACAGATTACCCATCATGCCTTGCTGTCAGAGCAGAAGTACCCGTTGAGATTCCCCTTCAGCCCCGCCCCCTGTCATTAAGCCCCACCCCGATCTCCTGCTCTCCACTCAGTAGAATGAATGGAGAGAGAAATTAAATCTGGATTCGGCTTCAAGTGCATTTTACAACTTCAAGGACTTAATGATTCTAATAAGGGCTATCACAGAGTTCATACTGGGTCGTTTATTTAGCTGAATTGCAGACGTCTCTTTCCCCATGTTAGTCAATGGGAGAAAGTCTTTCTGGGCCCATTGACGTCACGGACTGATACGGAAGTTGTAGTACCGCCGTTTGGCCACTATGAATATTTCCCTCAGAGTCCGGAGCACTTCCTGGGGGCTTGCTCTCTGACAGCAGGGTATCAACATGTATTCAATGAGGACAGGAAGTCTTACGGAGGACGGGGTGAGGACGTCACCGTTCAGCTTCCACTGGCCACGGACGTCGTCCTCAGAGATTTCCACCTCGAAGCGCGCCGTCTCGCCGTCGAACAGCTCCACGCCATAGATCGGACGCACCACCTTAACGTCACGAGCTGCAGGCGGGATAACATGTTTATTAATGTCATTGTTGTTGTTATTACATTGATTTACTGTGAAATTATAGACCAAGTTTGTCCCTTCGTGTACTTCATTCAATATAAAAAACACTTATTTTACTTAGAGTTTTATCAAAACAAGATAAAGAACGTGCCTTATTGGAGGAAGTAAACAATAATTTAAGTTTTAAAAAGTCCTGATCAAAAGTACTTATTGTTACTTGCTCTAAATGTTTGCTTAATGCCACTGTTGGTTTTCATGAGGAATGGTGAACATGTAATGTAGTTAGAGCTGCTGTGAGATGAGAGAGAAACAGTGTGTGCTGGAAACGTCCCCAGTCGGACACGGGGTGACGGTTACCTTCGATGTTGATGCTGGCGGTCGTCTTGTCCGTCCCGCAGTCACATACGTATTTCCCTTTGTCGCTCTGCTCCACCTTCCTCAGCACCAGAGACCTGCGGGTGCCCTCGCTCTTCATCAGCAACGTCTTGGAGGCGATGACCTCCGTCTCCTCATGGAACCACATGACCGGCACGTCTTTGCTCAGCTCGCAGTCCAGAGACACCTCGTCCTTCTCTGTCGCAGTGTAATCCTGCAGCTTCACCACGAACACCGCGTCACCCTCTGCAACACACACACACACTCCGTCAGACTCGCACACGCACTGGTTCAGATTCCCCCTCGCACACTCGGTGAGATGGATGAAGATGTGACACACACTGATTCAGACTTGCCCTCACAACACACACTGATTCAGACTCGCCCTCACAACACACACTGATTCAGACTCGCCCTCACAACACACACTGATTCAGACTCGCCCTCACAACACACACTGATTCAGACTCACACACGCACTGGTTCAGATTCCCCCTCGCACACTCGGTGAGATGGATGAAGATGTGACACACACTGATTCAGACTCGCCCTCACAACACACACTGATTCAGACTCGCCCTCACACACACACTCCGTCAGACTCGCACACGCAATGGTTCAGACTCGCCCTCACAACACACACTGATTCAGACTCGCCCTCACAACACACACTGATTCAGACTCGCCCTTACACACACACTCCGTCAGACTCGCACACGCACTGGTTCAGACTCGCCCTCACAACACACACTGATTCAGACTCGCCCTCACAACACACACTGATTCAGACTCGCCCTCACAACACACACTGATTCAGACTCGCCCTCACACACACACTCCGTCAGACTCGCACACGCACTGGTTCAGACTCGCCCTCACAACACACACTGATTCAGACTCGCCCTCACACACACACTCCGTCAGACTCGCACACGCACTGGTTCAGATTCCCCCTCGCACACTCGGTGAGATGGATGAATATGTGACCCCCTGCCCCCCCAATGCCCCCCAGAGATGGATATGAAGATGTGGACACCCTTGCCCCCCATGAGATGGATGAAGATGTGACCCCCCAGAGATGGATGAAGATGTGTGACCCCCTGCCCCCCCAGAGATGGATGAAGATGTGATCCCCTGCCCCCCAGAGATGGATGAAGATGTGACCCCCTGCCCCCCAGAGATGGATGAAGATGTGACCCCCTGCCCCCCAGAGATGGATGAAGATGTGACCCCCTGCCCCCCAGAGATGGATGAAGATGTGACCCCCTGCCCCCCAGAGATGGATGAAGATGTGACCCCCTGCCCCCCAGAGATGGATGAAGATGTGACCCCCTGCCCCCCAGAGATGGATGAAGATGTGACCCCCTGCCCCCCAGAGATGGATGAAGATGTGACCCCCTGCCCCCCAGAGATGGATGAAGATGTGACCCCCTGCCCCCCAGAGATGGATGAAGATGTGACCCCCTGCCCCCCAGAGATGGATGAAGATGTGACCCCCTGCCCCCCCAGAGATGGATGAAGATGTGACTCCCATGAGATGGAACAGAGAGATGAAGCATGGCTGTGACAGAGCAGGCACCACAGAAGAAGAGTTACCTATGACTGTCAGCTTGGCCATGGAGTAAATGCCTTTGGCCTCTGCCTTTATCTGGCAGGTATCATCGAGACACAGCGTCCTCATTTCGAGAATGTGTCTCTTCCCTTCCACGTGCGTGAGCACCGTTCTGCTCACGTGGAGCTTCACCTCGTTGCGGTACCAAACCACGGGCACGTTATCGTGCGACAGCTCGAGCTCAAAGCGGACCGTTTTACCTTCTTTCACAGTTTGGTCTTTCAGCTGCTGCACAAACTTCAGCCTCATGCCTGCAATACACGGTCAGTGCACACAGATGGGGGGTTGGTCTCTGCCGGGGACACTTTCAACATGGACACTCAACAGGAAGCCTATGAGGACAACACTTACCTTCCACCGCCAGCAGGGCGCTGGACCGCTGGCCCAGAACCTCCACCGTGTACTGGGCCTCATCGTCAAACTCACAGCTGTTTATGATCAGCATGTGCTTCCTGCCATCATCCATTATCTCATATTTAGGGCTGGGGGTGACAATTTCGGCCCCCCTGAACCACAGCACCTTGGACACCTCCTTGGTGACGGTGCATTCAAATTTAGCCTGTTTCTTTTCAGGCACAGAAACGTCCTTCAGCGGCTCAACAAAGCCCATCTCGATTTCTGAGAGACGCGGAGAGTCGCCGTTATTCACAGACAGAGAAGCTTACCTGTCCCTCTGTTCGGACCAACAGTGGGACAGAGAGTGTGTGTGTGTGCGCTTGTGTGTGTGTGTGTGTGTGTGTGCATGCGTGCGTGTGTGTGTGCATGTTGTGTGTGTGTGTGTGCGTGTGTGTGTGTGTGCATGTTTGTGTGTGTGTGTGTGTGTGCGTGTGTGTACCTTTGACGGTGAGCATGGCGGTGGTGACGGCATTCAGCGCCTGGTAGGACACTTCGCCCGCCTGGTCCAGCTGAACCTGCTTCAGGGTCATGAACCGCTTCTTGCCTTCAGACTTAATGTCGCAGGTCTGAGAGACAGGACACACTTCCGTTAGCAACAAGGATAACATCCTACTTTTACCATTGTATTTAACTCAATATATTTAGTTCACGTAAGCGCTCAAAATCGTTTTGTTATGTACTTTTTTCCTCGTAACATATGTGCAATTCTAAAATACAACGTTATTTTCTTCAGAGTTTCATCTTTGAGATGATCACACTCTTTGACTGGTGTTAAACTGGTCGCACTTTAGCCCCTGATGGTGTTTGTGTTATACTCTTTATTTAAATCCCCTCTCTTTGGTCGGACTCACCGGAGACCTCATCAGCACCTGTCCCCTCAGCTTCCACTCGCCCACCACATCCTCCTCGGAGATCTCTGTGTCGAAGTTGGCTTCCTCCTTCTCCACCACCTCCTGGCTGGCGAGGGGCTTCAGGACCTCGGCCTCGCGCTCTGAAACACAAACAGCAGGTCAGACCAGGTTCTTGACCCTCCTCTGAAGGGGGTCTCGGAGCGGATCTGACCTCCCAAGGTGAGCTTGGCGGAGTATCTGCGGTCCTCCACGGCGATGATGTAGTCGGAGACATCGTCCGCCTGGCAGTTGTTGACCGTCAGCGTCACGTTCTTGCCGTCCTTGTCGATCTGGATCTTGTCCGACGGAGCCAGCTCAGTGTCTCCCTTGAACCACTTCCAGTTGGGGGTGTCCTTGAACAGCTCGCACTTAAACGTAGCTTTAGCTTTCGGCTTCACATGCTGATCCCTCAGAGGCTTCACCAGCCAGTCCTTGATCACCTCTGACAAGCGCACAGGGACAACATGTTAAATCAAATCTGAGGAACAACGTTAGCAACATGTTAGTATTTCACTGTTATAGCCTAAACTGCTGTTAGCTTCCCCTCCTGAAGGTGGACTGGCGTTGAACTGGTCTAACTTTAGCTCCTGATGGTGGACTGGTGTTGAACTGGTCTAACTTTAGCTCCTGAAGGTGGACTGGTGTTGAACTGGTCTAACTTTAGCTCCTGATGGTAGACTGGTGTTGAACTGGTCTAACTTTAGCTCCTGAAGGTGGACTGGTGTTGAACTGGTCTAACTTTAGCTCCTGATGGTGGACTGGTGTTGAACTGGTCTAACTTTAGCTCCTGAAGGTGGACTGGTGTTGAACTGGTCTAACTTTAGCTCCTGATGGTGGACTGGTGTTGAACTGGTCTAACTTTAGCTCCTGATGGTGGACTGGTGTTGAACTGGTCTAACTTTAGCTCCTGAAGGTGGACTGGTGTTGAACTGGTCTAACTTTAGCTCCTGATGGTGGACTGGTGTTGAACTGGTCTAACTTTAGCTCCTGATGGTGGACTGGTGTTGAACTGGTCTAACTTTAGCTCCTGATGGTGGACTGGTGTTGAACTGGTCTAACTTTAGCTCCTGATGGTGGACTGGTGTTGAACTGGTCTAACTTTAGCTCCTGAAGGTGGACTGGTGTTGAACTGGTCTAACTTTAGCTCCTGAAGGTGGACTGGTGTTGAACTGGTCTAACTTTAGCTCCTGAAGGTGGACTGGTGTTGAACTGGTCTAACTTTAGCTCCTGAAGGTGGACTGGTGTTGAACTGGTCTAACTTTAGCTCCTGAAGGTGGACTGGTGTTGAACTGGTCTAACTTTAGCTCCTGATGGTGGACTGGTGTTGAACTGGTCTAACTTTAGCTCCTGAAGGTGGACTGGTGTTGAACTGGTCTAACTTTAGCTCCTGATGGTGGACTGGTGTTGAACTGGTCTAACTTTAGCTCCTGATGGTGGACTGGTGTTGAACTGGTCTAACTTTAGCTCCTGATGGTAGACTGGTGTTGAACTGGTCTAACTTTAGCTCCTGATGGTGGACTGGTGTTGAACTGGTCTAACTTTAGCTCCTGAAGGTGGACTGGTGTTGAACTGGTCTAACTTTAGCTCCTGAAGGTGGACTGGTGTTGAACTGGTCTAACTTTAGCTCCTGATGGTGGACTGGTGTTGAACTGGTCTAACTTTAGCTCCTGATGGTGGACTGGTGTTGAACTGGTCTAACTTTAGCTCCTGAAGGTGGACTGGTGTTGAACTTGTCTAACTTTAGCTCCTGAAGGTGGACTGGTGTTGAACTGGTCTAACTTTAGCTCCTGATGGTGGACTGGTATTGAACTGGTCTAACTTTAGCTCCTGATGGTGGACTGGTTTAAAAGTGGTGTTAGTTTCCTCCCCTGATGCTACGCTGCTGTTAGCGGTACCTCCTCTGAATTGCTTACCGATGACCTTGACGATGGTAGTGGTCTTCACGTCCTCCTGGCCCTCCACCTCGCAGGTGTAGGTGCCGGAGTCCTCCTCCGTGGCGTTCTGGATGGTGATGGCGTGCTGCATGCCGATGATATTGATGGCCACCTTGCCGGCCTTCTTCTTCAGCAGCGCCCCGTTCCTCTTCCAGACCACCTCGCGCTCCTTGTTCAGCTCGCAGGTCAGGTACATGGGCTGGCTCTTGATGCAGGAGGTCTCCGGCTCCAGGTCCTTCACCCACTTCACCGGCAGCTCTGCACAAACACACCTGTTACCAGACTGCATGCACTGCCTCTCACACACTGTCCTGTCTGCTTATTACTACTCATAATAATAACATAATAACATTTCATTTATATAGCACACTTTAAATACAATGTTATCTCAAGGTGCTTTTACTGCAGTACAGCGCCCTCTAGTGGTGGAGACACGTCCTGTTTGGACAGTTACTGTGAGTTTTAGACACCTTTTTGTTGTAGAAGGCTGCAAACTTTGATATACCTCAGTCTTTGAGAAGGTACAATCTGTAGGTGTTTTGTTTAGACAGACATTTAACATCTTCTGCAACCTTCATTTGGCCTTATTACACGGCCTAGTTCAATACTCGATTGTGATTGGTCAATTCGGACCCGTCAGAGGTTGTTGATACTTGATAACAGACTGCTAACCAAAATAGTGACCGCTGCTGAGGAGGATCAAGAAAAGAGGTTAAAAGACAGCAACTTCAGAGAAATCACCGGAACAACACAGACAGGAAGTAAACACTAACGGGAACCGCGGAAGAAGATTTTTAAGTCAATAAAATCATTTTCAATCAGTATATGGAGTCAAGTTGTTGGTTTATGTAGTTGTGGCCGTGTAACAAGCGGAATAATGTGCAGCGAGGCGGGGGTCGTGAAGACCTTAACGACCCCCGCCTCGCTGCACATGATGTTTATTTACTTCTGTTTAAGTTGTTGGATGGATGCTGAAGATTCATATTCCATACTTCTACATAAGTCTACAGATCTCTCAAACTGAAAACTCAAATGTTTTTCTTGCTCTTACAAAAGTCTGGCTTGTTTGAATCGATGTATTGCACTGGAAATGTATGTAATAATATGTATTGCACTAAGTTATTGTCTTTTCTTTTAGTATTAAAGTTTAAGTAGTACTATTTAAGTTTCAATTTCACAACGCTTCATTCAAAGACCTCAAGTCAGCTCCTTGAGCCGTGTGTGTAAGGCGTGCTGAGGCCTAACGGCGTCATAAAGTAGGTCCAGCCCCTGAGGGCCCTGGGCTGCAGACAGAAACAACCTCAGACCATCCTCTAATGAATCTGTGTTTACCTTCCACCACCAGCTTGGCGGTGCAGGTGATTTCCTTGCCGGCGTTCTTGGCGACACAGGTGTAATCGCCAGTGTCCGACAGCTGCACGTCGATGATGTTCAGCTTGCGGTCTTTGCCGTCAGCGGTGAACTTGTGCTTGGGGCCCTCGCGCAGGTTGGTGCCGTCCTTCATCCAGGTGGTGATGGCGGTGGAGGGCGACACCTCGCACTCGAACACGGCGGAGGATCCGATGGACTCGGCCTCCAGCAGCAAGATGTCCTTGATCTTCTTCACGAACTTCAGAGGCACCGCCTTCAGCTTGAACCCTCCGAAGGGATCCTCCGGGGGGGTCGGGCCTCTTCCTCCGGGCTTCAGGCCGCGGCCTCTGCCGGCATCACCGGGAGACGGGGTCTGTCTCGCTGCAAGGCCACAGACACAATGTTACTTACTCATATCAGACTTCACACAGAGGGAAGGTTTGAAGACACTGAGCCTACCGTAGGTAAGACGTCAATCAGTGGAAGTAACATAACACAGGGTTAGGGTAAAGAGTCTGAAGCATACAGTCACTCTGTTGAGCTGCTACAGGGTTACCAAAGAACACAAGAACATAAACAACAAACCACACAAAGAGGAAGAGGGAGAAGCTAAATACCTACCTGTGCTATTGCAGAAATATTGACAATATAAACATTGATTTCAGCCAAATGCAGTGTTTCTATTGGCTGATATCAGTGTGGTAGAGCAGCCTCTAATGATGGCTTATATTAGGCTATAAAACATCAGAACATATCAGAAAAAGGCCATCAAAACTTCTCAGTCCGATGTGATTTGTTTGAATGTCTAAGGAGTTGAGAAACTGAAAACAGACTTTCATTTCAAACTTTAAAATGACTCAAATCATTAAATGATCGAATAGTTGAAGTTTGTTTTTTCTGTCTATCTTATGTTGCAGCCCTAAAGTGTATGCATGTAAAGATACCTGGTGATTGGGTATGTGATACTACTTCCTGATACCTCTACAGTAACAGACGTACAAGAGGTTTGCCTCAAAGACAACAAGATTTTAAATCTGTCCGACAGATTTACGTAGAAAAAGTTTGGGGCCAGAAGATGAAAAGCTGACAAACACATTAGGTTTTGTAAGAAAGGACAGATAAGAAAACACCCAAAGAGAAAACGTTAGTACATGAACTACTTGATATCAGTTCATACCCCCGAGTCCTCGGCCTCGGCCCTTTGGCGCCTCCTCTGATGGTTTTCCATCTGAACAAGAGACAACAAGAGGAGTTTAGAGTTCCTCTGATGATCCAGCGGAAACCAAGACTAAGATGTACACATTCACAGACATGAGAACATTGAAAGGACATTCTCAGTGAAGAGGACAGAGATGGACAGAATAAAAGGACCACAAGATGAAAGAATATAAAAACACTATAAGCTGAAGCTAAGGTAATATTGGAAGGACAACATGAGGACTGCACGGAGATGAAGAGGATGAAGAAGATGGAGTAGATATTCACGGATGAAAGAATAATGGGAGTGGGGACGGGAATTGAGAAGTGCTTCTTCCAAGTTCCCGTCCCTGAATGGGACAAGATGAAGACAAACATGAATGGACGATGCAGGAAAACGACAAACTAGAAAGGTACTAGGTGTTGTGAAAGACATGATGAAGACACATTGAGGACAGACATTATATGATGGACATCACTGAGATGAAGATGAGTATTAATGGGGTAGGGATGGGAATCGAGAACTGGTTGTTCTTATTGACGCTTTCCAAAGGCTTTGCACCTAGTCATTTACCAGGAACCGATCTTACAATTCCGCTCCCTAAATGGGACAAGATGAAGACAAACATGGGTGGAGGACATGATGAACACATTGAGGACAGACATGAAATGACAGCGTCTCGGTGGAAGAATGGCGGATGAATACATGAGCTGCAGATGGCGTGATGAGGATTAGATGAGTTTTGAGATGGATGAAGGGGCTCCAGAGTCCTCAGACGTCGGCCTTGGTCTCACCTCGTCTGGCGCCTGGCATGCCGGGAGTCTGCCGCTCCCCGTCCACCGCTTCACCCTCCCAGTCCTCGGGGGGGACCAGTTCCCAGCCCCAGGCCTCGTCCTCCTCCTCGCCCTCCTTCACCTCCGCCTCCTCTTCAAACACCTCCTCCTCCGGCTGGGTGGGAACCTTCTGCATCTGCACGGCCCCGGGGGAAACCTCCTTCCCCAGTGGGATCCTTCCTCTACCGGGAGCTTCTTCCGGTGGGGTTTTCCTCGGGGTCTTTTTGAGTGTGACAGCTTCAACTGAGTCTTTAGGTGAAATCGTTTTTTCCACCTTAGGTGATGGAGTCTTCCTCAGCTCGGCCTTCTTCAGCTGCTCGATGGGTTTGACAGCTTTTTCTTCGTCTACCTTATCTTTACCGGCTCTTGGCGAGTGAGTCTTTTTGAGCTCGACACCTTTCTTTAAGATGTCTGCTTGTTTCTGTGGGGTCTCTTTCTTCCCCGGTGGACTGGCCTTCCTGTCTGGTGCAGCTTCCTCTTTCTCATCATCCTTTTGGGGTTTTGCAGTCTTTTCTACTTTCTTAAGATCTTTAGGAGCTTCCTCACTTCGAGCTTGACGGGGTACCTTTGTATCCACAGGTTTCTTTTTCTCTGCCTCAGACGCTTTCTCTGGCTTGGTTAAAGGCTTCAACATGACCTGGTCTTTGCCGACGTCAGCAGTGACTTCTGGACTCGAGTGGGCGGGTTGGTCTTCGTTGTGTTTTATCGCAGCTGCAGGTTGATCTATCTGAGGCGTCTCGACTCTCTTGTATGGAGTGCGTTCAGTGTCTGTCTTTGCCTCGGCTTCTTCCGTAGATTTGGCAGGTTCAGGGGCTTCAGGTTTCTTAGGTTTTTCAAAAGGTTTCAAAGTCACTGCTTCTTGCTCCTCATCTTTCTTTGGCAACTTCTTTATTTTCTTTTTAGAAAAATCTGGTTCTGGTTCTTCCTCTTTTGGTGCTTTAGGGGTTCGGGTCCATCTGGACTTCTCATCTTCTGTCTCAAGTTCCTCCAGTTCCTCCATGTGACCCGAGTCAGGCGAGTCTTCAGCGGTGGTAAAGACTCGTTCAGGCCTTACCACCGTTAGCAGCTCTCGATCCTCTCGATGGCGAAGTTTCTGAACGCTCAGCTCTGAATCATAATGCCTCGTCACTTCACATTTTTGAGTTATGACCTCCTTCTCTGGCTCTTTGGGCTTAGTTGGCACCTTTTTCAGCTGGATCCTTTGCGGTTCTTCTTCTGGTTTCCCTGATTTCTCAAAGGGTTTCAGTTTGGTTGAGTCTTTCTTTTCATCAGCCTTTGGCAGTTTGGTTATTTTCTTCTTCTCAACCTTTGGCACCTCAGGTTCTTCCTCTTTTTGAGATTTTGGAGTTCTTGTCCATCCTACTTTTTCTGTTGTTTTCACTGTAACTGTTAACCTCTCAGCTTCCTCAAACTGGCCTAACTGAGCCGTCTGCTCCTCCGCCGTGAAGACTCGCTCGGTCCTCCCGAGGGTGATTATCTCTCGATCATCTCTCTCGTGAAGTCCGTGAACCGCCAGTTCTACATCCTGGAGCTTCGTCACTTCTGCTTTATGGGTTACGACCTGTTTCTCAGGCTCTGGAGGTTTCACCAGGACCTTCTTCAACTTAACAACCTCCGGCTCCGGCTCCTTCTCTTTGGGTCCTCGGAGAACCCTACTCTTCAACTTAGGAGATTCAGGGGTTTTCGTCTCCTGAACAGGGATCTTACCCTTTTGCTTAAGAGCTGCCACTGTGGTTGAGGCAGTAAATACATTCACAAACAGGGAACTCAACATTTCATCTGACACTTTACAACACAGGACTCACACCACTCCAACATGTAAAACAAGAGATATGTTGGTTGTAAGAGAATAACTAATATGGCAGGATGTATACCTGTAGTTGGTCCAGGTGCTGAAACTGGTCCCTTGTCTGCAATAATTTAAAAGAGATAGAAACAAGTCAACACAATACAAACCAAAGAAGGTTAATGTATTTTTTCAGACTGGAGTCAAGAAAGTGTGGCATGCTTTTGTTACAGTAACGTAACTTTGAACGCACCAAGAGATTATTTTGAAGGTTATTTGGACTCTTTTTAACATGTATAGTTAATATGAAACACTTGAATTAAACAAACATTAGGTTGACAGTTAAAGACAGAACTAGACATGAAAGGCATTTCTACAATCAAAGCTCAGATTGCCTTTTATGAAGACTGAAGCGTCACATAAGAAACGCTTTAAAGCCGGGGACTAACAGAAGAGATCTTCATAAACATATTGAACATAGATGAGAGCTACAGAAGAAGTGTTACCTTCAGGCGGAGAGGCTGCCGGAGAGGCCTGCACGCCCGGTGGGGAGGGTGTCTTGGCCACCGGTGAAACTTGAGCTACAAGAACGCCAACTTGATTAAATCACTGGCAAAGATCTGGTCAACAAGATACTGACAAAAGTGAACTACCCAGACAGTTAAAGAATGTAGACCAACAGAGGACAAACAGAAGAACTACCTGCTGGAGTCTTTGGTGCAGACACTTTCTTTTCCTCTGGAGGAGACACTTAGGAGCACAAGATACCAAAGGTCACGAACAAGACACATTCAACACATTCAAGATGTTAAGAGTGCTTACAAGTGCACAGATAGAGAGGAATCAGAAAACATGAAAGGTCTCTGTCTCCAGATACAACACAAACAGAAGACAGATGTGCAAAGGTGAAAGGACTACCTGCAGGAGGAGTGACTTTAGCTGCAGGAGCTGCAGGCTTTGGTGCAGATGGTTTATTTTCCTCTGGACGAGACACTTTAACATACAAGATGCCAAGGTCATGACCAACACAACAACACGGTCAATGAAAGACAGACAGACGCAGGATGAGACTGAGGGTGATCAGTCAGCTCAGAAGACAACAGACGGACATTTAGCTCACAACAACATACTGAAGAAGGAGTATACCTGCAGAAGGAGCAAGCTTCTGTGCAGGAGCTGAAGGTGCAGATGGTTTCTTCTCCTCTGGGGGAGACGCTTTGGGAAAACAAGATGCCAAGGTCAAGACCAAGACAACAGTTGGTGGAAACATAAGCAGTGACAGGAACAGTTCACAACATGAAATACAGATGAAGAACACACACAGAAGAGGAAACAGACTCTTGATGAGCCAGCAGTTTCACACAGCATTTAGTGAGCGGACTACCTGCAGGAGGAGCAGCGGCTGCAGGAGGTGAAGACTTTGGTGCAGCTGGTTTCCTCTCCTCTGGGGGAGACGCTTTGGGAATACAACCAAGATTACGACCAAGAAAAAAAACATGGTCAATCAAGAAGACAACAACACAAACAGGGGAGAAGAGGAGAAGGGAAAGGGGTCAATAGACCAAGAGAGGTTCTTTAGTACGAACCATTGCAAAGTACTGACACAAAACACGCTAGAGACAACGAGGAAGGCTTACTGTGACCATTAGTGTAATATGTACCGTCAGTGGTATAATGTGTGTGTACATGTGAGGTTCTTTAAGAGGGTTGATCTTATGGCGATCACGAGCCTTCGCGGCTCTAATAAGAATACCTGTCTGAAGAGTTTGTTCTTTGCTCTTCTTTGCATTTTCATCATCTTCTCTTGGAGAGCTTCTTACTTCTTTGGCAGAATCCACCTCGGGGCTGAATACTGTTTGTGCCAGGGAAGCAGGCGTTTTAAAGACAAGAGCTTCTTCTTCAGGGAGAGGAGGTTCATTCTTCTGTGGTGGCACTTCAGGTGTTTCACTTGGAGCCACCTCAGGTTTAGTGACAGTCTTCTTCTGTGGTGGCACTTCAGGTGTTTTACTTGGAGCCACCTCAGGTTTAGTGACAGTCTTCTTCTGTGGTGGCACTTCAGGTGTTTCACTTGGAGCCACCTCAGGTTTAGTGACAGTCTTCTTCTGTGGTGGCACTTCAGGTGTTTTACTTGGAGCCACCTCAGGTTTAGTGACAGTCTTCTTCTGTGGTGGCACTTCAGGTGTTTTACTTGGAGCCACCTCAGGTTTAGTGACAGTCTTCTTCTGTGGTGGCACTTCAGGTGTTTTACTTGGAGCCACCTCAGGTTTAGTGACAGTCTTCTTCTGTGGTGGCACTTCAGGTGTTTCACTTGGAGCCACCTCAGGTTTAGTGACAGTCTTCTTCTGTGGTGGCACTTCAGGTGTTTTACTTGGAGCCACCTCAGGTTTAGTGACAGTCTTCTTCTGTGGTGGCACTTCAGGTGTTTTACTTGGAGCCACCTCAGGTTTAGTGACAGTCTTCTTCTGTGGTGGCACTTCAGGTGTTTTACTTGGAGCCACCTCAGGTTTAGTGACAGTCTTCTTCTGTGGTGGCACTTCAGGTGTTTCACTTGGAGCCACCTCAGGTTTAGTGATAGGTTTCTTGTATGGAGTCACTTCTTCAGGAGAAGCTTTGGGAAGTTTAGGAGAGGTCTTCTCTGTAGGCAAAACAGCTTCTTTTGGTGGTGAAATGTCTTTGTCAAGGTAGACTGTTCTCTCAGGCGGAGGGATACGAACTGGTGCAGGGCAGGACACTTCTGTACTTGCTGGTATGGATCCTGTTGCTGGATTCAGTTCTTCTTCAAAGGACTCGTCTGCAGACACAGGGGTCGGTTTTTCCAGAGGTACAACATCTTCTAGACAGGCACAGATTTCTTCCATCTTCCTAGTAATCATGACTTCCTTTTTGGGAGGAGAAGGAGGGGTTTGAGTTGGGACTTGGGGTGTGTCATGTTCAAGAGGAATAGTTATTTCTTTCACAGCTTTTTTCGAAACAGCGACTTCTTTAGGCTTCTTTGGGGCAGTGACTTCTTTAGATGTAGAAGAGGTTTTGGGTTTAACAAGATCCTCCATTTGCAGTTCTTCAATGTCTTCATAGTGTACCGGTACAACTACAACGTCAGCTTCCACAAGTGTTTTCTGTTGAGTTTTCTTGTAGGACGGTACCTCTTTTTGGGATGTGTATCCAGTGTCAGGAGGAATAACTTCTTGCTTCGTGGGACGAGTTACTTCAGGTGGAGTCGTGTTTTCTCTTCCTGATGGAAAATGTTCAGTCTTCTTTAGGGTAAGAGGGACAGACCTAGAAGACAATTCTTCTGTCTGGTTTAACACTTGGTCTTCTGGTTTTTCAACCTCATCTTCTGGCTCTTCGACTTGCTGACCCCGGTTGTGTCCTGAAGAAACCTTGTCCCTTTTCTGCTGTCTTATTTCTCGATTTTCTACCACCGACTCCCTCACCTCCACTGCCATCTCATACGTCCTGACTTCCTCTGTCAGAGAGATTCTATCTACTTGAAGCGTCCTCAGAGACGACTTCCTGCTGTCTTCAAACTCGTCTGTTGTTTCCTTAAGATCCCTCATCTGGGGAACTGTTATTTTTAAGATTTCACCCAAGATTGAAGATTTGCACCATGGAGCGGTGGCCAAGAGAAAGACACAAGACAAGAACCATCAAGACACAGAAACACAGACTTCAGTGTGACATGTATTCTGCTGCGATCCTAAGTGTAGTGAATGACTGCCTCTCTACGTCGACTAGTACTTCTCCAGAAGGAATAAACTAATCTAGATCCTGGAACAAATTAATACAATAAGTCAAACTACAAAACAGTGACGCACATTAGCTGGAGCTGTTGTTTCCTGTGGTATCTCCCTTTGTGTTGATAACTGATATGATGCAACATGTCGCCACACATGACAGAACACACATCAACTTTTAGCTAATGGATAAGAATAGTAATACATAAGAATACCAAGTTAGAAGACCAAGATGAAGAAGGATTAGTTAATAAGAGGTTCAGATTTGTCTACCTGGTTGCAGAGGCTTTGGAGCCGGAAGAGTTTGCTTTGGTGTTTCCAAGTCTTGTGGTGGTGGTTCAGAAACCATTTTGTGTGCCACTGGAGACCTTTGTGGTTCTTCTGGGACCTTCTTTGGTGCTTCAGGAACCTTCTTTGGTGCTTCAGGAACCTTCTTTGGTGCTTCAGGAACCTTCTTTGGTTCTTCTGGGACCTTCTTTGGTTCTTCTGGGACCTTCTTTGGTGCTTCAGGAACCTTCTTTGGTGCTTCAGGAACCTTCTTTGGTTCTTCTGGAACCTTCTTTGGTGCTTCAGGAACCTTCTTTGGTTCTTCTGGGACCTTCTTTGGTGCTTCAGGAACCTTCTTTGGTGCTTCAGGAACCTTCTTTGGTTCTTCTGGGACCTTCTTTGGTGCTTCAGGAACCTTCTTTGGTTCTTCTGGGACCTTCTTTGGTGCTTCTGGAACCTTCTTTGGTGCTTCAGGAACCTTATTTGGTTCTTCTGGGACCTTCTTTGGTTCTTCTGGAACTTTCTTTGGTGCTTCAGGAACCTTCTTTGGTGCTTCAGGAACTTTCTTTGGCACTTCAGGAACCTTCTTTGGTTCTTCTGGAACTTTCTTTGGTGCTTCAGGAACCTTCTTTGGTGCTTCAGGAACCCTCTGTGTTTCTTCCAGAACCTTCCCTGGTGTTTCTGGCTCCATTTTTCTTGGAGCTTCAGATGTCTTCAGCTCTGAGAGAACTTTGAATAACATTAATGCAAAAGATGATTAACTTATTAAGAGCATTTTAAAAGTGCCAGCATCACTCTAACGAGTGCTCAAAGATCTTCGAATAAGATATTTCGGAAAGATTACATTCCATTTAAAGCAGAACAGGAGAAACAGACTTGAACATGAGAAACAGCACAAACAGGAAACAGAAGAAGGACCAGTGAGGAACGTCTCGGTACCTTTGGTTGGAGCAGCTTCAGCCTTGGGGGAAGGAACCTTTGGTGCAGACGGCTGAACTACAAGCTCCTCTGGTCTGGGTTCTTCCCACACTTAAGAGAACATGATGTAAAGTTTAACCAACAGGTGAAGACCAAGGCTAGGTGAAAAAGAACATTCTGAACGAGTGAAGGACTCTAAAGATATCAGTACCTTTAGCAGGACCAGGTTCTGCTGATGGGGGGGGTAACCTTTGCTGCAAGAGGCTGAACTACAGCTGCTTCAGGCTTTGGACGTTCTGCGGCTTTAAAGAACATTATATATGTTCAATAACATACTGGTAACAAACAACATTACAGTCCACTCTAACGAGTGCTGCTACAGAAACACATCACAACACAAGTCAAAGAGTTCACAGACGGTCCCAGACCTTGGTTTGACATCAGAACATTAAGAGGTTTTCCTCCACATTTATCAGAAGATTATTGTAGAAACTAGCTGGAGCTTGTAGGCAAAACATTACAGCAAAGGTTCATCCAAACCTCCTGAAACCCAAACCCCAGATACATGAAATACATTTAAAGAGGTTACAGTGACCAACACTCAAGAACCAGGTTGAAGAGTTATACCTGCAGATCACAGCAACATGGAACCAACAACTAGAAACACTGGGTTAAAGAACGTCTTTATAGAACAGAAGAATACGTGTACTTTACCTCTGGCTTTAGGGGCTTCTTGAGGTGTCTTTGCTTCAGCCTTGGCTTCTTTAGTTTCAGTTTTCAGCTCTTTGGGTTCCTCCGCCCTTGGTCTGGGCTCGGGGGGAATGGTTTTTGGCTTGACTGAAGGTTTTGGTTGGTAAGGTTCCGGAGAGAGCTTTCTGGGAACCTTTTGTTCAGGTTCTTCAAGGTTAACAGAGAAATAGGTAAAGAAGAGGTGAAGAAAGAACGGATAACAGACAGAACATCAAGATACATTAATAACAGATGGACGAACGGACAGACGACGATGCTCTGAACGCATCTGAGGAAGATCAGCAGAGACTCTTGAACAACATGAAGCTTTACTGACAGCAACAAACAATCTTTGTAAATAAATATTTTTCATTCATTAATTTGTTTACATATTCCCGTTTGGTGTAAAGACAGTGAGCCGACAAAGACTCTAAGAGGACAGACAAATCAGATAAGATCAAATCAGATAAGATCAAATCAGATAAGATCAAATCAGATAAGATCAAATAAGATAAGATCAAATAAGATAGAATAAGATGGGTCTGGGTGTTACCTGCTGATTGGTCGGCGTCTCCTCGCATTGGCTCGTCCTTCGTCTTCCTCGCTTCAGATTCTTTAAAATATTATCACCATGTCAGATTTCTGATCAACGCTAACATCAAGAACTCATCAAGAGATTTAAATACAGACAGAACAACAAGAGGAGGTACATGAAAGACAAACAGGAAGTGGGTATAATTTAAGAGAATAAAAGCGGTATGTACCTCTGAAGGCAGCTGAAGATCTCTGATCCTCCGAACTGAAAACCTCAGACACTGAGGAGAAGAGAGGCAATGTTAACACACTGGGGGGGGGGGGGGGGGGGAGGGATAAGAGGGGGAAGAGGAAGAGAAGGAGGAAGAGGAGGAAGAGGAAGAAGGATAAGACTGCTCTACGGAAAGAGAGAAGCTTCTAGAAGCAGCAGGAAGCGTTTCAGGACAAACACCACGAGCGGCCTGATGTCTACAGCCTCTAGCAGTGAGACCGTTTCTAGCAGTGAGACAGGTGAAGAGGACATTACCTGAAGACACGTCTCCTGTCTCTGTCCACTCGCCTGTCTCTCCTACTGCCTGTCTCACTCCTGCAGGGAGGAAAACCAACTTAGAGACAGACAGGTGTATAAAGATGTGAGAAAGACAGGTAGAGACAGACAGGCGTGTAAAGAAGTCAGATAGACAGGTGTGTAAAGATGTGAGACAGACAGGTAGAGTATGTGGACGAATACAATTGGCAACAGACAGGCAGAGGACAAGAGGAGACATCTGCAGACAGACAGGTAATTAAACCTGTCAGACAGACAGGTAATTGAAGATGTCAGACGGACAGGTAGAGACAGACAGCTGCAGACAGACAGCTGCAGACAGACAGGTAATTGAAGATGTCAGACAGACAGGTAGAGACAGACAGCTGTCAGACAGACAGGTAATTGAAGCTGTCAGACAGACAGGTAATTAAAGCTGTCAGACAGACAGGTAATTGAAGATGTCAGACGGACAGGTAGAGACAGACAGCTGCAGACAGACAGGTAATTGAAGCTGTCAGACAGACAGGTAATTGAAGATGTCAGACGGACAGGTAATTGAAGCTGTCAGACAGAGAGGTAATTGAAGCTGTCAGACAGACAGGTAATTGAAGCTGTCAGACAGAGAGGTAATTGAAGCTGTCAGACAGACAGGTAATTTAAGCTGTCAGACAGACAGGTAATTGAAGATGTCAGACAGACAGGTAATTGAAGCTGTCAGACAGACAGGTAATTTAAGCTGTCAGACAGACAGGTAATTGAAGATGTCAGACGGACAGGTAGAGACAGACAGCTGCAGACAGACAGGTAATTGAAGCTGTCAGACAGACAGGTAGAGACAGACAGGTGCAGACAGACAGGTAATTGAAGATGTCAGACGGACAGGTAGAGACAGACAGGTGCAGACAGACAGGTAATTGAAGATGTCAGACGGACAGGTAGAGACAGACAGGTGCAGACAGACAGGTAATTGAAGCTGTCAGACAGACAGGTAGAGACAGACAGGTGCAGACAGACAGGTAATTGAAGATGTCAGACGGACAGGTAGAGACAGACAGGTGCAGACAGACAGGTAATTGAAGCTGTCAGACAGACAGGTAATTGAAGATGTCAGACGGACAGGTAGAGACAGACAGCTGCAGACAGACAGGTAATTGAAGCTGTCAGACAGACAGGTAGAGACAGACAGGTGCAGACAGACAGGTAATTGAAGCTGTCAGACAGACAGGTAGAGACAGACAGGTGCAGACAGACAGGTAATTGAAGATGTCAGACGGACAGGTAGAGACAGACAGGTGCAGACAGACAGGTAATTGAAGCTGTCAGACAGACAGGTAATTGAAGATGTCAGACGGACAGGTAGAGACAGACAGCTGCAGACAGACAGGTAATTGAAGCTGTCAGACAGACAGGTAGAGACAGACAGGTGCAGACAGACAGGTAATTGAAGATGTCAGACGGACAGGTAGAGACAGACAGGTGCAGACAGACAGGTAATTGAAGATGTCAGACGGACAGGTAGAGACAGACAGGTGCAGACAGACAGGTAATTGAAGCTGTCAGACAGACAGGTAGAGACAGACAGGTGCAGACAGACAGGTAATTGAAGCTGTCAGACAGACAGGTAATTGAAGCTGTCAGACGGACAGGTAGAGACAGACAGGTGCAGACAGACAGGTAATTGAAGATGTGAGACAGTTTTAGTGTGATAAAGTGTTGATACCTGTGGAGGAGAAGTGAACAGAGACGGTCTCTTCGACTCTTTCCACAGCTACACATTGAAGATAATCACAATCAATAATAATAATAAAGATAATAATAATATTTAAAGATAATTCAAGATGTGCAGTTTGTGCAGAAGAAGATCAACAGTCTTATTTTCCAGATGAAATCACAAACACCATACATTCAGACTTTAATCTAAATCAATGCTTAATTTATATGAAATTACATTTGTAATTTAAATGGATGAGATTAGGTCCATAAAATGTAATTGTTTAATGAATGTTAAGACTGAGGTCTGATATCAAGATGCAGTCTCCACTAATCCTGGATTCAAAACCAATTCAAATGGATTTTAATCTTATTAAAACTCGTTTAAAATTAAAGATCTTAATGTTGCAATTTACAGATTCAGGTTGTGCAGATAATCTTCTTCTGCGACAGGAAGGAATTATTACATTTCTGCAAACCGGTTCACACGATCGTTAACAAATATTATAGATTGTTAACGGGTTCACCTGGTTGTTAACGGGTTCACCTGGTTGTTAACGGGTTCACCTGGTTGTTAAAGGGTTCACTGGTTGTTAACGGGTTCACTGATTGTTAAAGGGTTCACCTGGTTGTTAACGGGTTCACCTGGTTGTTAACGGGTTCACCTGGTTGTTAACGGGTTCACCTGGTTATTAACGGGTTCACCTGGTTGTTAACGGGTTCACCTGGTTGTTAACGGGTTCACCTGGTTGTTAACGGGTTCACCTGGTTGTTAACGGGTTCACCTGGTTGTTAACGGGTTCACCTGGTTATTAACGGGTTCACCTGGTTGTTAACGGGTTCACCTGGTTGTTAACGGGTTCACCTGGTTGTTAACGGGTTCACCTGGTTATTAACGGGTTCACCTGGTTGTTAAAGAGTTCACATGGTTGTTAACAGGTTCACTGATTGTTAACGGGTTCACCTGGTTGTTAACGGGTTCGCCTGGTTGTTAACGGGTTCACCTGGTTGTTAACGGGTTCACCTGGTTGTTAAAGAGTTCACCTGGTTGTTAACAGGTTCACTGGTTGTTAACGGGTTCACCTGGTTATTAACGGGTTCACTGATTGTTAACGATTGTTAAAGCGTTCACCTGGTTGTTAAAGGGTTCACTGGTTGTTAACGATTGTTAAAGGGTTCACCTAATTGTTAACGGGTTCACCTAGTTGTTAACGGGTTCACTGATTGTTAACGATTGTTAAAGGGTTCACTTGGTTGTTAAAGGGTTCACTGGTTGTTAACGGGTTCACTGGTTGTTAAAGGGTTCACCTGGTTGTTAAAGGGTTCACTGATTGTTAAAGGGTTCACTGATTGTTAAAGGGTTCACTGATTGTTATAGGGTTCACCTGGTTCTTAAAGGGTTCACCTGGTTCTTAAAGGGTTCACCTGGTTGTTAAAGGGTTCACCTGGTTGTTAAAGGGTTCACTGATTGTTAAAGGGTTCACCTGGTTGTTAACGGGTTCACCTGGTTGTTAAAGGGTTCACTGATTGTTAAAGGGTTCACTGATTGTTAACGGGTTCACCTGGTTGTTAACGGGTTCACTGGTTGTTAAAGGGTTCACTGATTGTTAAAGGGTTCACTGATTGTTAAAGGGTTCACCTGGTTGTTAACGGGTTCACCTGGTTGTTAAAGGGTTCACTGATTGTTAAAGGGTTCACTGATTGTTTAACGGGTTCACCTGGTTGTTAACGGGTTCACCTGGTTGTTAAAGGGTTCACTGATTGTTAAAGGGTTCACCTGGTTCTTAAAGGGTTCACCTGGTTGTTAAAGGGTTCACTGATTGTTAAAGGGTTCACTGATTGTTAAAGGGTTCACCTGGTTATTAACGGGTTCACCTGGTTGTTAAAGGGTTCACTGATTGTTAAAGGGTTCACTGATTGTTAAAGGGTTCACCTGGTTGTTAACGGGTTCACCTGGTTGTTAAAGGGTTCACTGATTGTTAAAGGGTTCACTGATTGTTAACGGGTTCACCTGGTTGTTAACGGGTTCACTGATTGTTAAAGGGTTCACTGATTGTTAAAGGGTTCACTGATTGTTATAGGGTTCACCTGGTTCTTAAAGGGTTCACCTGGTTCTTAAAGGGTTCACCTGGTTGTTAAAGGGTTCACCTGGTTGTTAAAGGGTTCACTGATTGTTAAAGGGTTCACTGATTGTTAAAGGGTTCACCTGGTTGTTAACGGGTTCACCTGGTTGTTAAAGGGTTCACTGATTGTTAAAGGGTTCACTGATTGTTAAAGGGTTCACCTGGTTGTTAACGGGTTCACCTGGTTGTTAAAGGGTTCACTGATTGTTAACGGGTTCACCTGGTTGTTAACGGGTTCACTGATTGTTAAAGGGTTCACTGATTGTTAAAGGGTTCACTGATTGTTAACGGGTTCACCTGGTTGTTAAAGGGTTCACTGATTGTTAAAGGGTTCACTGATTGTTAACGGGTTCACCTGGTTGTTAACGGGTTCACTGATTGTTAAAGGGTTCACTGATTGTTAAAGGGTTCACTGATTGTTATAGGGTTCACCTGGTTCTTAAAGGGTTCACCTGGTTCTTAAAGGGTTCACCTGGTTGTTAAAGGGTTCACCTGGTTGTTAAAGGGTTCACTGATTGTTAAAGGGTTCACTGATTGTTAAAGGGTTCACCTGGTTGTTAACGGGTTCACCTGGTTGTTAAAGGGTTCACTGATTGTTAAAGGGTTCACTGATTGTTAAAGGGTTCACCTGGTTGTTAACGGGTTCACCTGGTTGTTAAAGGGTTCACTGATTGTTAACGGGTTCACCTGGTTGTTAACGGGTTCACTGATTGTTAAAGGGTTCACTGATTGTTAAAGGGTTCACTGATTGTTATAGGGTTCACCTGGTTCTTAAAGGGTTCACCTGGTTCTTAAAGGGTTCACCTGGTTGTTAAAGGGTTCACCTGGTTGTTAAAGGGTTCACTGATTGTTAAAGGGTTCACTGATTGTTAACGGGTTCACCTGGTTGTTAACGGGTTCACCTGGTTCTTAAAGGGTTCACCTGGTTCTTAAAGGGTTCACCTGGTTGTTAAAGGGTTCACTGATTGTTAAAGGGTTCACTGATTGTTAAAGGGTTCACTGGTTGTTAAAGGGTTCACCTGGTTGTTAACGGGTTCACTGATTGTTAAAGGGTTCACTGATTGTTAAAGGGTTCACTGATTGTTATAGGGTTCACCTGGTTCTTAAAGGGTTCACCTGGTTCTTAAAGGGTTCACCTGGTTGTTAAAGGGTTCACCTGGTTGTTAAAGGGTTCACTGATTGTTAAAGGGTTCACTGATTGTTAACGGGTTCACCTGGTTGTTAACGGGTTCACTGATTGTTAAAGGGTTCACTGATTGTTAACGGGTTCACCTGGTTGTTAACGGGTTCACTGATTGTTAAAGGGTTCACTGATTGTTAAAGGGTTCACTGATTGTTATAGGGTTCACCTGGTTCTTAAAGGGTTCACCTGGTTCTTAAAGGGTTCACCTGGTTCTTAAAGGGTTCACCTGGTTGTTAACGGGTTCACCTAGTTGTTAACGGGTTCACTGATTGTTAACGATTGTTAAAGGGTTCACCTGGTTGTTAAAGGGTTCACTGATTGTTAAAGGGTTCACTGATTGTTATAGGGTTCACCTGGTTCTTAAAGGGTTCACCTGGTTCTTAAAGGGTTCACCTGGTTGTTTAAAGGGTTCACCTGGTTGTTAAAGGGTTCACCTGGTTGTTAAAGGGTTCACCTGGTTGTTAAAGGGTTCACCTGGTTGTTAAAGGGTTCACTGATTGTTAAAGGGTTCACTGATTGTTAAAGGGTTCACTGATTGTTATAGGGTTCACCTGGTTCTTAAAGGGTTCACCTGGTTCTTAAAGGGTTCACCTGGTTGTTAAAGGGTTCACCTGGTTGTTAAAGGGTTCACCTGGTTGTTAAAGGGTTCACTGATTGTTAAAGGGTTCACTGATTGTTAAAGGGTTCACTGATTGTTATAGGGTTCACCTGGTTCTTAAAGGGTTCACCTGGTTCTTAAAGGGTTCACCTGGTTGTTAAAGGGTGTCACCTGGTTGTTAAAGGGTTCACTGATTGTTAAAGGGTTCACCTGGTTGTTAACGGGTTCACCTGGTTGTTTAAGGGTTCACTTGATGTAAAGTGTTCACTGATTGTTAACGGGTTCACCTGGTTGTTAACGGGTTCACCTGGTTGTTAAAGGGTTCACTGATTGTTAAAGGGTTCACCTGGTTCTTAAAGGGTTCACCTGGTTGTTAAAGGGTTCACTGATTGTTAAAGGGTTCACTGATTGTTAAAGGGTTCACCTGGTTGTTAACGGGTTCACCTGGTTGTTAAAGGGTTCACTGATTGTTAAAGGGTTCACTGATTGTTAAAGGGTTCACTGATTGTTATAGGGTTCACCTGGTTCTTAAAGGGTTCACCTGGTTCTTAAAGGGTTCACCTGGTTGTTAAAGGGTTCACCTGGTTGTTAAAGGGTTCACTGATTGTTAAAGGGTTCACCTGGTTGTTAACGGGTTCACCTGGTTGTTAAAGGGTTCACTGATTGTTAAAGGGTTCACTGATTGTTAACGGGTTCACCTGGTTGTTAACGGGTTCACTGATTGTTAAAGGGTTCACTGATTGTTAAAGGGTTCACTGATTGTTATAGGGTTCACCTGGTTCTTAAAGGGTTCACCTGGTTGTTAACGGGTGTTAAAGGGTTCACACGATGGATGGAGTTTGAGTTGATGATGGATGACAGTAATGATACAGAAGAATATTAACGAGGTCACGGTTATTCAGGAGGATGACGTTTAGGATGGAGTCTTCATAAACCGTTAGTACTCATGGTTAAATATTATAAATGAATATCTGCTGTACCTGTCACTGTCCGTTCTTCGTAGAGATAAGACTGAGAGGAATCTTAGGCAGAAGAAGATATTAATGAGAATATGTTTTTATATTGGTATATAAAGAGTTATAAGAGAGACAGGAAGTCTCACCTCTAACGAACAGACAGGCAGCGCCGGGGAACTGAAGGGAGTCGGGGACGTCTGCGGGTCGAACAGCACCGTTAATATTAACTCACAACATCTCCTTTAGTTAGATCTTTAGACTGTTTGAAGCCAAAGTCAAAGTCCACAGTTCCTCCCTTTCAAAATACCAGTTATTTGAACCAATCAGCTGATGTGCCTCGCTTTAATATATATATATTATATATTATTTTGCACTTTCACGTTAAATATTATTTAGACCAGATTGCAATACCCAAGTATTTGTGGATAGTCTTTATATCATAAGCGTATTCTGTTAAATAATACAAATAAATACAAACCCACCAAACGATAGAACATTTGAAGGCCTAAAGCGAGGACTGTCTCTTTCAGTTTGTAATTAAAGGGGAGGAAGTTTGACTGGCTGTATTTATTGAAAGTACTCACCCTGAGGGGCGCTGCCTAAGCCCACCTCTGCGGAGACAACATGAAGTTAGAGCGTTTCATTACTTAACTTCAATTCAAACTAAAGATAGCGTTTGTGTTTACGGACCTCGGCCCGACAGGAAGAGCTCGGCCGAGCTGCGAGCTTCACCCAGAGCGTCGACCCGAGCGATGACCGAGTACACGCCTACAGAGATAACACCATCATTTATTACCACATCTCTTTCTGCCATAACATCTCTCTTCACCACCAGCCTTTACTATAACATCTATGTCACCTTTAACCGTGCCTTAGAATTGCACTTTTAGCTGAAGCCATTATTTTATCGCTTTTCTTTGTTTGTGTGTTTTTTTATTATGTGTTAAATGTGAGGCACTTTGAATTGCCTGTGTCTTAAAATGTGCTATATAAATAAACTAACCTTGAACTGTAACCTCCACACAGTGACCACCAGGTCTTATGTGTTGGCACTTCCTGTGTCCAGTGTAATTGCTATAACCCCAGCTGTATCAACCTTTACTTGCCAAATAAACTGTTTTTAAGGTTTTATACCAACTGTTATTTAGTTATTAACAGTTTTTCCAGGCATGGAACTCACTATTTAGATTAGCAATATGTGGTTACCCACTAACAGAGGATGTGCAGTGTGGCTGTGGATGATCTCTAATTAAACTCCCTGTTTACAAAGCTGATAGCGCTAAACCTGAGGAATCGAGACATACGGGTTTGAACAGGAAGTGGAGGAAGGGCTTCATAAGGTGATTGAATAGAAACATTTGAATCTCTCAATATGAAATGAATCTATATTAATGGTCAGATTCTGCGGTTTAGGACAGACCTTCGTCCTCCGCTGTCACGTTGACGATGGTCATGAAGTGGCGGTGGCCGTCCGTCCTGAACTCGTACTTTGGGCTCTCGCTGAGCTCCCATGATCCTTTGTACCACGCCACGGAGGCGTGGTCGAAACCCAGCTCACACTCGAAGGTGGCGCGATGGCGCTCGCTCACTTCGATGCTCCGGATGCTTTTAGTGAACTGGATCTGTTCCCCTGAACCACCCGAGTCATAAGAGAGGGGTTTGATCATGAGACAGAGCCAGAGGGGGGTCGAGAGAAAAACTGAACACAAGCAAACACAGGATAACGAGGAACAAAGGCAAGAGGAAGAAGCTAAATGAAGCAGATTAAGAGGAACCAAGTCAAGCCAAATGCACACTGGATATAAAGGCAGAGGAACACACCCAGAATAAGGAGGACGAACAACTCAGGAACACATCCAAGATAAACAGGTACACACATGTGAAGAGGTCAGTGGGGGTTAGCTCGGCACGGCTCACCTGGTGGTAAGAAAACGCTACAGACAGGAAGGGGCCGGTCTCTCTGTGGACAGGAAGTGAGTGCGTACCTGTGACGGTGAGCTTGGCGTTGGAGATGTGCGGTCCACACACCACCCGGTAGTTGCCCTGGTCCTGGCCCGAGCACTTCTTGATCTTCAGGAAGTGGCGTTCGCCCTCGCTGCCAATGTCGTACCTGTCTCCGGCCTCCAGCTTCTGCGTGCCTTTGTACCAGGTGAGGCAGATCTCGGGGTAGTTGATGCGCAGGCGGCACTGGAAGGTGGCGCTCTGGCTCTCCGGAGCCGACTGGTCGCTGATATCCTCGAGGACCGACACCGGCTGGGAGGACAAATAACCCAATGAATCCACTTCCTTCTGAATCATTTAGAAGTTAGTTTAGGAATTCATTCTCACAACAGGCTGACTTCTTTTAAAGGGCTCCTATTATAGGCAGATATTATAGGTCTCAGATATAAGGACATGTCTCTGAAGTGTCCTGCTCCAAACCCCAAACAGGTCCTTGTAGCCCCCCCTCTCTTCCAGCTGTTACTAAGGACATGTCTCTGAAGTGTCCTGCTCCAAACCCCAAACAGGTCCTTGTAGCCCCCCCCCTCTCTTCCAGCTGTTACTAAGGACATGTCTCTGAAGTGTCCTGCTCCAAACCCCAAACAGGTCCTTGTAGCCCCCCCCCTCTCTTCCAGCTGTTACTAAGGACATGTCTCTGAAGTGTCCTGCTCCAAACCCCAAACAGATCCTTGTAGCCTCCCCCCTCTCTTCCAGCTGTTACTAAGGACATGTCTCTGAAGTGTCCTGCTCCACACCCCAAACAGATGTAGAGAAGACAACACTTAGTGAGTCTCCTGACACACCGGGGACACACCGTGGACACACGAGGGACACCGGGGACACACGGGGGACACAGCGTTGACACACGGGGACACACCGGGGACACATGGTGATGTAGAGAAGACATCACTTATTGAGTCTCCTGACACACCGGGGACACACCGGGGACACCGGGGACACACGGGGACACACCGGGGACACATGGTGATGTAGAGAAGACATCACTTATTGAGTCTCCTGACACACCGGGGACACACCGGGGACACACGGGGACACACCGGGGGCACACCGGGGGCACACCGGGGACACACCGGGGACACATGGTGATGTAGAGAAGACATCACTTATTGAGTCTCCTGACACACCGGGGACACACCAGGGACACACGGGGACACACCGGGGACACACGGGGGACACACGGGGACACACCGGGGACACATGGTGATGTAGAGAAGACATCACTTTGAGAGTCTCCTGACACACCGGGGACACACCGGGGACACACGGAGGACACACCGGGGACACATGGTGATGTAGAGAAGACATCACTTTGAGAGTCTCCTGACACACCGGGGACACACCGGGGACACACGGGGACACACGGGGACACACCGGGGCACACCGGGGACACATGGTGATGTAGAGAAGACATCACTTATTGAGTCTCCTGACACACCGGGGACACACCGGGGACACACGGGGGACACACCGGGGACACATGGTGATGTAGAGAAGACATCACTTTTTGAGTCTCCTGACACACCGGGGACACACCAGGGACACACGGGGACACACCGGGGACACACGGGGGACACACCGGGGACACATGGTGATGTAGAGAAGACATCACTTAGTGAGTCTCCTGACACACCGGGGACACACCAGGGACACACGGGGACACACCGGGGACACACCGGGGACACATGGTGATGTAGAGAAGACATCACTTAGTGAGTCTCCTGACACACCGGGGACACACCGGGGACACACCGGGGACACACCGGGGACACACGGGGACACACCGGGGACACATGGTGATGTAGAGAAGACATCACTTATTGAGTCTCCTGACACACCGGGGACACACCGGGGACACACGGGGACACACGGGGACACACCGGGGACACACCGGGGACACATGGTGATGTAGAGAAGACATCACTTATTGAGTCTCCTGACACACCGGGGACACACCGGGGACACACGGGGACACACGGGGACACACCGGGGACACACGGGGGACACACTGGGGACACATGGTGATGTAGAGAAGACATCACTTATTGAGTCTCCTGACACACCGGGGACACACGGGGACACACGGGGACACATGGGGACACACGGGGACACACCGGAGACACACGGTGATTCAGAGAAGACATCAGAAAGTGCATTTTGCATCATAGGAGACCTTTAAAGTAACTCATTTGCACAATTCTAATGATTGCATTTATATTAGGTTCTGCATGTTGTACCTCGGTGCTGACGCGTCCCTCCAGCTGCTGGATGAGGCGAGCCATGTCCTCTTCCTCCACCTGGCCTCCATGCTCCACTTCCTGCAGAGATACAGAGACAACATGTCCTCATTCTCCACTCTGATAGCTACTTTAAAAAGGGAAGCAAACGTCGTCTTTCTCTGACAGTACGATAACCACAACACCAAGTCAATTCCTCATATGTGTTAACCTACCTGGTAATAAACCTGATTCTGATACATATGGAGACACAGCATGTTAACTTAACCTAACATTAGCTGAGCATAAAGACTGTAGTGGGGTAGAAACAGCTAGCCTCGCTGTGTCTCTGCGCGGCTGCTTTAGGGATGGTGTATTCCCGCGTTGGACCCTGAAGGCAGCATCTACCTGGTCCAATAGCAGACCAGGGGACAGGAAGTGAAATAAAGACCATTTTCTTTACCACTTTCCCGCTCTCCATCTCCTTCTCCCTCTTCAGGAACTCGATGGCCTGCAGGATGGCACGGTAGTCGTGGATGCCGTGCTCCTGCAGGATCTTCTCGTAGTCTTTGGGGTTGTGTTCTCTCAGCAGGTCCACGATGTTGAAGTCTCCTTCCTTCTTGGGACTCTTCTGCTTCGAGGGAGTCCTGGAAAACATCAAGAACACAATGAGACGTGAGAAATCTCAGATCCTCTGCTAGTAAAGGGGACGGAGTTCTGTCAATGAATCTTCCTCAATGTCAACTTCTCATTTATCCTCAAAGACCATATCAAGAAACTCTTGTTTACTCAATTGGAGTACAACCAACAAAGTCAGAGGGAACTTCGCTAGAAATACGTCTCACACCGTGGTCTACGGTGCAAAACCTCTCCAGCTGTGTAATAATGGTGATTCAAATTCAACACATAATGCAGTTTATGGCTTGATTCTGAACTCACATTCACATAATGTCGTTCACCAACACTATTTATTTATTCATGTGAGAATGAAACTAGCTTGCACTATTGCTTTGTGTTTGCTTTGTTCTATTGTTTTATCTGTTGTGTTAGTTTGATGTCCTCTATATATTCATGTTGCTCTGTTGGAGGAGCCTGTACCTACAGTGTTGCTGCTGAGCACATGATGAGAAAGACTTGAAATAGCTTTATAACTTGTAACTATATTTAGGTTGTTTCTCAAACCAATGTGTTGGCTCTTAGTGTAACGTACTACAGCCTCTGCAGTGTGTTTGTCTGTATTTCTCATACAGCATGTTTCCGTACTTCTTCAGCCGGGTCCGGATGTCTCCCAGTCCCGCCGCCTCCTCCTTCTTGCTGACCTCCAGGTCGGCGCTGCTCTCGATCTCTCCGTGTTTGTTGGTGGCGACGCAGCGGTACTGACCCGAGTCCGACTTGGTCACCTCTCTGATCTCCATCTTGGCGTCCTGGCCCTTCTGCTCGATGGAGATGCGACCACCGGGGGTGATCTGCCTCCACTTGCCCTTCATCCACTTCACGCTGGGGATCGGGTCTCCGCTGATCTTAGCGATGAAGGTGGCGGTGCCCTCTGCAGAGGAAACACGAAGAACATGAAGGGGCGTACACTTCCTCCTGACCGACACTTCCTCCTGACCCCTCCTGACCGACACTTTCTCCTGACCGACACTTCCTCCTGACCGACACTACCTCCGGACCGACACTTCCTCCTGACCGACACTACCTCCTGACCGACACTCCCTCCTGACCGACACTTTCTCCTGACCGACACTTCCTCCTGACCGACACTACCTCCTGACCGACACTTCCTCCTGACCGACACTACATCCTGACCGACACTCCCTCCTGACCGGCACTTCCTCCTGACCGACACTACCTCCTGACCGGCACTTCCTCCTGACCGACACTTCCTCCTGACCCCTCCTGACCGACACTTCCTCCTGACCCCTCCTGACCGACACTTCCCTCCTGACCGACACTACCTCCTGACCGACACTTCCTCCTGACCGGCACTTCCTCCTGACCGACACTACCTCCTGACCGACACTACCTCCTGACCGACACTTCCTCCTGACCGACACTTCCTCCTGACCGACACTTCCTCCTGACCGACACTACCTCCTGACCGACACTTCCTCCTGACCCGACACTTTCTCCTGACCGGCACTTCCTCCTGACCGACACTACCTCCTGACCGACACTTCCTCCTGACCGACACTACCTCCTGACTGACACTACCTCCTGACCGACACTTCCTCCTGACTGGCACTTCCTCCTGACCGGCACTTCCTCCTGACCGACACTTCCTCCTGACCGACACTTCCTCCTGACCGACACTTCCTCCTGACCGGCACTTCCTCCTGACCGGCACTTCCTCCTGACCGACACTCCCTCCTGACCGACACTTCCTCCTGACCGACACTTCCTCCTGACAGACACTAACTCCTGACCGACACTTCCTCCTGACCGACACTACCTCCTGACTGACACTACCTCCTGACCGACACTCCCTCCTGACCGACACTACCTCCTAAAGCAAACCGATATTGTTCTAAACTGTATTAAAGTAAACAGGTATTATCTTGAACTGTATTGAAGTGAACATGTATTATTTGGGACTGTTTTAAAGTAATCCTATATATATAAACCTTCTTACCTACACTCCATGAGCCAGATACCCTGACACACACACATACACCTCCTGTCTCCAGCACACACACATAAACTCCTTGACCAGGTATCACCAACACACACACATACACCTCCGCTCATCAGCACACACACACACATACACTTCCCCTCACTAGCACACACACATGTTCTTTTTCAAGGTTCTTTCTGGGGCCAATATAATCCCAAGCACCAATATATCTGTGTACAATGTTTGATACCAATATATCTGTGTACAATGTTTGATTGTTTGGGAAAGAATAGTTTGTGTGAAACCTTCCGTGGGAAATTAAAGGAGTGGAGTCCGGTGGAAGATAAGAAGTGACTCTCCGCCCCAAATATGTCCATATATACTGTTGTTTCTTCATGCAAAATGCTCCCTGTTTCTGACTGGCTGGTCCCGTTATCTGTATCGCACGGCAGTAGAGCGGGGAACCTGGAGTGCTCTGTTTCAGGGCACTCTGTATTTCGTATTGTGTTTTTTACTGTATTACAATCAGATTATTGTTATAACTTTTATGCCGGTGTTTTGAACTCCTTTTATTAAATCTGACCAGGCTCATCTAAAGGACGGCGCGGAGCAGAGGTGGGCTTTAAGCCACCACTATTTTGTTTGCTCCTACACTCCTGACCGACACTACCTCCTGACCGACACTTCCTCCTGACCGACACTTCCTCCTGACCGGCACTTCCTCCTGACCGGCACTTCCTCCTGACCGACACTACCTCCTGACCGACACTTCCTCCTGACCGGCACTACCTCCTGACCGGCACTTCCTCCTGACCGACACTACCTCCTGACCGACACTTCCTCCTGACCGACACTTCCTCCTGACCCGACACTTCCTCCTGACCGGCACTTCCTCCTGACCGACACTTCCTCCTGACCGACACTACCTCCTGACCGACACTTCCTCCTGACCGACACTTCCTCCTGACAGACACTAACTCCTGACCGACACTTCCTCCTGACCGACACTACCTCCTGACTGACACTACCTCCTGACCGACACTCCCTCCTGACCGACACTACCTCCTAAAGCAAACCGATATTGTTCTAAACTGTATTAAAGTAAACAGGTATTATCTTAAACTGTATTGAAGTGAACATGTATTATTTGGGACTGTTTTAAAGTAATCCTATATATATAAACCTTCTTACCTACACTCCATGAGCCAGATACCCTGACACACACACATACACCTCCTGTCTCCAGCACACACACATAAACTCCTTGACCCAGATATCACCAACACACACACATACACCTCCTGTCTCCAGCACACACACATACACTCCTTGACCAGGTATCACCAACACACACACATACACCTCCGCTCATCAGCACACACACACACACACACACACATACACTTCCCCTCACTAGCACACACACATGTTCTTTTTCAAGGTTCTGGTGGGTGGGTGGGTAGGTGGGTAGAGAGAGAGAGAGAGGTCAGTCAGTCGGTGGGTAGGTAGGTAGGTGGGTAGGTAGGTAGGTGGGTAAGTAGGTGAGTAGGTAGGTGGGTAGGTAGGTGGGTAGGTAGGTGAATAGGTAGGTGGGTAGGTAGGTGAATAGGTAGGTGGGTAGGTAGGTAGGTGGGTAGGTAGGTAGGTAGGTGGGTAGGTGGGTGGGTAGGTAGGTGGGTAGGTAGGTGAGTAGGTAGGTAGGTAAGTGGGTAGGTAGGTGAGTAGGTAGGTGGGTAGAGAGAGAGAGAGAGAGAGGTCAGTCAGTCGGTAGGTAGGTGGGTGGGTAGGTAGGTGGGTAGGTAGGTGGGTAGGTAGGTGGGGTAGAGAGAGAGAGAGAGAGAGAGAGAGAGAGAGGTCAGTCAGTCGGTAGGTAGGTGGGTAGGTGGGTATGTAGGTAGGTAGGTGGGTAGGTAGGTAGGTAGGTGAGTAGGTAGGTGGGTAGGTAGGTGGGTAGTTAGGTGGGTAGGTAGGTGGGTAGGTAGGTACTCAAGCTATGTAGCAGTGAGTTCTCTGTTTCACAAACTGCATCCCACTTACTCTCAGTGGCAGAAACCGTCTGCAGTTCCTCGATGAAGAACAGGTTGTCCAGCCTCTTGACGGGGGCGGCTGCAGCCGGGGCAGCGGCCTCCGGGGGGGAAACCTTCACTCCTGAGTCTGAAGAGAAATCATGACCAGGTGAGTCCGGCATAAAGAAGCCCAGCCTCAAACACCAGCAGCAGTGAAGGAGGGGGACTCGTTATCGAGTACTTTGGTTGTAAGTTATAACCATAAACCTTAAACCCACAATATTTAAAATTGTGTGTTTTGGAGGTAAACAAACAGTAACATATTTCACTTTTTGAACATATTGTAAACTTTGCAAGGCTTTTATCAGAAAGTTGAAGGAACAATAAGCTTATCCGCAGATGTAATTTCAGTAAATTACATGGTAAAACACAAGGATTCAATTTATTATTCCTATTCTATATTATCTTAGCTAAATGATCCCAAAGCACCGAAACACATGCTCCTGGTTAATCATATAAGGTATCCAGGCCGGGGAAAAAACAGCCAAACTGAGAAGGTTTGTTAGATAATGAAAAGCCTACCTCTCAAGGTGACCTTGGACTTGCAGAAGTTGCTGCCGGTGGCGTTGGAAGCCTTGCAGAGGTAATCCCCAGCCTCGCTCTTTGAGGCCAGGCTGACCTCCAGACAGGCCGACCCGCCAACAAACGTGATGCGAGTGTTCCCGCTGGACTTCAGCTCCCTCCTGTCCTTCATCCACTGGATGTTCAGAGGAGGGGAGCCGGTCACATGACACTTCAGGCTCAGCTTCTCGCCCTCGTTCACCGTCACCGGCTCCAGAGGAACATCGAACTTCGGAGCCTGGCCAGTTTCTGGAGGAGAAGCGTGGAAGAAGGGTTTAAAAGTGGAACTGGACGGGCACCTCCTGCAGACCTAAAAGTCTTTGTGTTTCAGTCTTCATTGACCTAAATCTGAAATGAACCCAACTACACAGCCGTCAGAAAGACACTCCAGCTGCTGATACGCAGCAAGATGGGAGTTTGGTTCACAGGCTGAAGAACTGTGTCCTGGATTAAACGTTCATTTGAACCAGCAACCAAGCTAGTATCTTCCTCCACATTTCCCAGTGCTTGATTACAAAAATACATTCTTTGCATCCATACAAGTTATCTTCTCTGCACAAAACATATTTGTGAGAATATTTACAGTGGCCAAAGAACAGAACATGGATCCTTCAGTGTCCTCTTATATAACTGTGCAACTTCCTGGAGTACTAATGCTAACACAATCATCCGCTGCTGTTGGTCGGCTGACCACAGATGCAGCTTGTGTTATCTGACTGTTCTCACCTCCTGCAAACATGAAGATCTATTCATGGTAGAAATGTTGGGTTTTACCTGGAGATGATTGCCCTTTCAGAGGAACACACTACAGCAGTAGATCATCAGTAGACTATAGAGATGAATGAACCGATATACCTGTGATGTTCAGAGTCACCCGACAGGAAGCTTTGCCGGCCTCGTTGGACGCTTCGCAGGAGTACACGCCGCCGTCAGAGCTGCTGGAGTCTCTGACGGACAGCACGGCCACGTTGTTCTCTAAGCTCATGGCGTATTTGTCGGAGCCGTAGATCTGGTTGCTGTCCTTGTACCAGGTGATGCTCAGCGGCTGCGAGCCGGACACCCGAGCCTCCATCTTCACCATCTTACCCACAGAATCCATCATGGACTCCGAGGGCCTCTTGGTGAAGTTGGGAGGGACTTTGCGCTCTGTTATCGGGGAGAGGGGAGAGAAAGTCATGCCATGTTTTGACAGTGGGAAGGGGTTTTGAAATTCAGATCATCATCACGAGGCCACCGGGCCTTCACAGAGCATCTGGGAAAACAGAGAGCCACTTAGGACGACATACAAACAACCTGCAACATACAAGCGAGCAAATAAAGAAAAACACAAAGACTAAAAAATCCCTTTTTAGAGCAAGCCAATATTCAGATGATCCATCCACAACAATGTGGAACACACGCTCTGACGGACCTTTAAAACCTTAAGTATAATCTTTATCTGTTCAAACCAACAACCACAAGTTAACCATGAACACACCAACAGAATAACCCAGGATTTGAGATGTCATCAAATTCCCTTCGTGTTACCAACGGAGACAAGACCACAGGAGACAAGACCACAGGAAACGAGAACTACACCGAACGTTAGGGTTAGTGACGGGAACCACACAGGGGGACGTTTGTACAGCGTTACCTATTTTAACGTTAGCGTGACAGGTGTCACTGCCTTCGGCATTGGAAATTTCGCACGTGTATTTCCCGGCCGAGGCAGCCCTGTCGCCGTTGAGGACCTCCAGAGTGCAGGTGGAGGCGGTGATTTTGACATTGTAGAGGTAAGAAGCCCAGATCAGCTTGTCATCCTTCTTCCACGTCACGTAGACCCTCTGGCTGCCGGAGTACGAGCACTGCAGCTTCAGAGGCTTATCCAGCTGGTGGCTCACGTCCGCCAGCTTCTTCACAAAGCGTACGGGCTCTGAGAGAAGCAATGTGGAGGTCAGTCACAGAAACCACTGAGGTCGAACATGCGTAGGACACGCTATGAGTCTGGAAGTATCCGAAGGACTCCGTGGATGTTCTCATGCGTAGAAAGAGAGGCTGGGACGTTTACCTGTACGTAAAGCAATACAGCGCGCAGGCATATGTGAGTGGTTACCTGGAGGTGTTATTAACTTCATGCATTAACTGCAAGCAGGATGCGTTAGCGTTACCTAGTTTGACATCGGCGTGGCAGACGTCGGTTCCCGCAGCGTTAGACAGTTCACACGTGTATTTTCCTACGGCTTCTTCGCGGTCGCTGTTGAGGACCTCCAGGACGCAGGAATCGTTGGTGGTCTTAACGTTGTACTTGTATGAAGCCCAGATGAGTTTACCGTCTTTCTTCCAGGTGACGCTCATCCTCTGGCTCCCGGTGTACGTACACCTGAGGCTCAGAGGTTCACCGAGTCTGAGAAGAGTGTCTTCCAGCTTTGTTTGGAAGCACGGCGGCTCTGAGAGGAGTAATGGTTGGGTTAGTTGCATGAAGCCTACAGTATGTTATGCTAGCAGGCAGATGGTGGTCTACACTTTATCTAACCCTACTTAAAGACCACACACCGCTGTAATGCTCTATACAACAGGCGGACACAGTTAATGGATAAAGCAGGTGGTGTGTTAAGAGTTGTGACTTTACCTAGGGTGACACGTGCGTGGCAGACGTCTGTTCCCGCTTTGTTGGACATTTCGCAAGTGTAAGTCCCAGCTGCCTCTGGGCGGTCGCTGTTGAGGACATCCAGGAAGCAAACTGAATCAGTCGTCCTAACGTTATACTGATAAGACGCCCAGATCATCTTGCCGTCCTTCTTCCAGGTGACGTAGACCCTCTGACTGCCGGCGTAGGTGCACGCCAGAGTCAGAGGCTTACCAACCATGAAAGTAGTGTCTTCCAGTTTCTTGATAAAGCGCACCGGTTCTGGGAGAAGCAAGGCGTGGGTTAGACAGGTGCCAGTGGTTATGCTGCCATGCATTTACTTCAAAGGCTGATTATGCTTTATGGGTCACATGTACCAACAGTCAGAGAACTACTCAAAGAAATGTGTATTTACCCAACAGTTTATAACCAGAGAAAACATTATAATATATAAGGTAGGAAAACTACAAGTGAGAGCATCCATTAACACTCTCTCTGAACAAGACCACGCAGAATTGATTTAAATAAAAAAAGAAGTATGTAAACAAGCATCACCTGTCACTGTCAGGATACAGCTGGCGGAGGCCGATCCGATCCGGTTGTCTGCCGTGCAGACGTATTCACCGTGATCGAACTTGGTGGTTTTGGTCAGTTTCAAAGTGGCAACACCTTTAGAGAACTCCATGGAGCAGGTGTCAGATTTGCGGAGCTTTCCGCCGGCTCTAAACCAAGCTAGGGAGATGTCGGGAGTTCCTAAAATACTGCATTTCAAGGTTACTGCTTCGCCCAGACATACCTCCACTGGCTCCATCTTTTCAACAAAGTACGGTCGTTCTGAAGCAGAAGATGGTGGTTTATGAACACATGAAAGAATGAATTATTGACTGAATGAATAAACCCTTCATGCTGCTTAATAATTGTACCTAGAATTGAAATCTGTGCTTCGCATCTGTCACTTCCGACTCCGTTGTCTACTTCACAAGAGTATCTACCGGTGGCCTCCACCCTGTCTGCGTTAAGGACCTCCAGGATGCAGGAGGAGTCTGTGGTGGTCACATTGTACTGGTACGAGGCCCAGATGAGTTTACCATCCTTCTTCCAGGTCACGTTGGTTCTGGGAGTGCCTGCAAATGTGACCTCGAGCAACAGAGGCTTCCCCTTCTCAGAGGAAACGTCCCTCAGTTTCTTCACAAAGTGCACCGGTTCTGAGAGAGGTAATTTCATCGTCAGTAACACGAAGCTCATTCAGAAGAAGAAGTTAAACAAGGACAATGCTAACAAACCTTTCACAAACAGGTTCACAGGGCAGCTCTCCTTCCCTGCGTTGTTAATGATCTGGCAGGTGTACTCTCCTGCGTGGGACTTCTCCACCTTTTGGAGCACCAAAGAGGCGACCCCATCCTTCAGGGCCACCTCGCAGCCCCGGCCATGCTGCATCTCCTTGGCTCCCCTGAACCATTTCACCTTCAGGAGGGCGCTACCTTTCACTTTAGCCGAGAAAGACACGGTTTTGCCGGGCAGCGTTTCCTTTGCTTCTGGCTTTTCCACAAAGGATGGAGGTTCTGGGTTTCAAATAAAGAAGATGAGTTGTAAGAGATTTAATCACCATCTTTAACGCGTCCATGTTGGGGAATTTACTCGACTCTATTCATGCCTACTGACCTGTCACATTCATGGAAGCACTGGTCTCACTGGCCCCTGCAGCATTTACAGCTTTACAGGTGTACTTGCCAGAGTCGGACATGCAGATTGTCGGGATTCTCAGTTTGCAGGTATTATCGGTGCAGCTAATGTCGTAGTTCGGCCCGCTCTTGACCTCCTGGCCGTTGTGGAACCAGGAAGTGGTTAAAGGAGCAGAGCCAGTGACCTTACAGTCCATCTCGCCCGGCTTACCAACAACAAGCTGGGTGTCTCTCAGCTTCCTGATGAAGCTCGGTGGAATCAACTTATCTATTGTCAAAAAAACAACCAGTTATGAATCAATTCGGAGCTAACTTTTGATAAAAAAAGTTCAAAATGTAAATCTAGAAACCTGACAAACCTGACACAGAGAGTTTAGTTTTGCAAGATGCGGTACCAACGTTGTTGGTGATCTCTAGCTTGTACTCTCCGGCGTCTGCTTTGTCAGCAGAGCGGATCTTCAGGACGGCCACCTTCTTTGTGAAGGACGTCTGGTACTTGGCGCCAGTAGACAGCACTTTGCTATCTTTGAACCACTTAACGTTCAGCTCTGGAGAGCCAGATACTCTGACCTCAAGAGAGACGTTCTCTCCTGACTTCACGTTCAGGGACTCTGGGCTATCCACAATAGCGGCGGGTTCTAAAAATCAGGGAAGAAGTTATTAATCTAAACAAATCCTGACCTGGCAGTTATGTACTAAAGTCTAAAGGAGGTCTACCAACCTAGAACCGTCACTTGGGAGACGGACTCCACAACGCCAGACTCGCTGCTCAGCCGGCAGGTGTATTTGCCAGCGGTGGTGGAGTCAGCTTTAGGCACCACAAGGGTGACCACATTATTCTCAAAGGTGATCTTCCTGTTGTCCCCGTCTCTGAGGATGTGATCCTTGTCCTGCACCCAGGACACGGTCACGGCCTCACAGCCTCTCACCGTGGCGCTCAGAGTCAGCTGATGGCCGACGCTCACCGTCTGGTCCACCAGCTTCTTCACAAACGTTGGTTTTTCTGAGTATTGATGGAGAGATTGAAGGTGAGGGGAGCTAATCACTAAGACTAGATGCTAATGAAACGACCTTTGACTGTGTACTGACCTCTCAGGCTAACGGTAGTGTGACAGGTTGCACTTTCTACATTGTTGGACACTCTGCACTCGTAGAGGCCGGCGTCCTCCTGCTCCAGCTTCATAATGTGGAGCGTGGCCGAGCTGCCTTCACTGACCATCTTATACTTCCTGCTCTCCTTCAATGGCCGCTTCTCTTTGTACCAGTGAACCACGAAAGGCGGAGTGCCGTACACCTCACAGTGCAGGCTGGCCTCTTTCCCTTTAACGCCCTCTACGGGACTGGGAGTTTTGATAAAGGACGGGGACTCTGGAAGATATATCAGAGATATATTAATAACCTACAGACTGGTTCAGGGTCATGCTCATATGCAGTCCATGCGAGGGAAACCATCCAGACGTCAACAAGAAGTTCATTAGTGAAGAAATCAGGAGTTAAAGCTGGAGCGCAGGACAAACACAAATATACGTTCATTTTGAGGAAAACAGGTTCAGGTGCTGGTGAACCTCGCCACATCTTCCTCAAGTCATAACGAGCATCCCATCTTCTGAACGCCAAGTGTTCTACTGATCTGAACATCCCCTGTGTTCTCCAATATGGTAATTACTCTCAGTACCAGAGGGGGGAGACAAACACACTGCACTCCAGCTTTGAGATGGAAAAACACAAGTCTTCTGGAGGTCATTCCACACATAGGGGAAAACATGCCTAAAACACACTGAATCAGGAACTGTTTGTATCATGCTGACGTTTCCAAAGACACTCATAAGAAGACGTAATATTATAATCTACATCACGGGGGGTGTTCATTCCTTATTTTCATGCCACACAAGTTTAGAGGGACCACATCGACGTGAGGCAGAAGCACAGCTGGATTGCTGACCTTGGACAGTGAGCACGGTGCTGCAGCTCAGACTGCCGGCATCGTTGTGCGCCTCACAGGTGAAGACGCCGTTATCCGCAAACCTGGTGCTTTGCAACTGCAGGTACGCAGTCGAGTCGACAAACATAGTTCTGTAGTTGTCTCCGTCCGTTATCTTTTGGTCATTTTTATACCAGCACATTTTCAGGGAGCGTGAGGCGATGGCCTTGCATTCGAAACGGTATCCCTCACACTGCTTCACAAACGTAGTGGGGGGGAGTTTCAGGGTAAACTGAGGGGGCTCTGCAAAGTCAAAGAAAGATCAAGTTACTATGAGTGGAGGGAGGGAGGGAGGGAGGGAGGGAGGGGACTGAACACAACACAAACTCCTGGGGAGGGAAGAGATGTTAAGGTGGTCAGGTGGAGGGAATAAAGAATAAGGAGCTTTAAAAAAAGATGGAGTTATAGGGAGGTGATGATGGTGGGAGGACGATAAAAAAGAAGTCCAACCTTTCACCAACAACTCCGCTGCAGAGTTCACGACGCCCGCTGCGTTGCTAACGTGACACGAGTAAACCCCAGAGTGCTGCACCCCGACGGCGGGGAGCTCTACGGACGAGGAGTATTCCTCCCGGCTGATCGAACACCTCGGCCCGGGGAGGAGCTCCATGCCATCCTTGAGCCATTTCACCGTTAACGGAGAAGTTCCCTCAAAGACACTTCTGAAGAGCACCGTGGACTTCTGAGCGACAGCCTGAGACTCCAGCTCAGCTACAAACCTCGGTGGCACTAAAACCCACACGGAGAGATGATTACTTCACAGGACTCACAGCCTCGGAGTACATCATGCATAACGTTTGGATGCTAACCTTTAGCGGTGAGCACTGCACTGCACGCACAGCTGCCTGCAGCGTTCATCGCTTTACAGGAGTATTCCCCCGTGTCAACGCTCCCGCTCAGTTTGAACTCCAGCGACACAGTGTCTCCAGCATGCAGGAGGTTAAATCTGGAGCTCTTCGAGATGGCATCTTTCCCTTTGCTCCATTCAACAGACATTGGAAGAGACCCGGCAGCTTTGCACTGCAAGGTAACCACTGAACCCATGATGGCTTGAGTGTTTATTAACTTCCTAACGAACGTCGGAGGGACTACTTCCTCTGTTCAGAGTGACATTAAAAGAGAATTAGAGTCAGAGAGAATCTGTTCTAAGGTATTTGTCCTAAGCTGTGGAGTATCTTCACAAACCTAAAACCAGCAGCAGGACTTTACAGCTGCAGGTCCCGACAGAATTTGAGGCCTCCAGCAGATACTCCCCCCCGTCCTGCTGCTCAGACGTCTGCATGCTAACACTGCTGAGGTTGTTCTCGTAGCAGAGGTGGAGCTTCCTGCTAGACTGGAGCTCTCTGCCATCTTTAGTCCACCTCAACCTGATCGGAGGAGTTCCTGCTACCCTGCACTCCAGACTAACCGGGTCTCCACAGGTCACTTTGACTACCTCTGGCTTCTCTTGGATGGTTGGTGGTTCTAAAACACCGGGACAAAGAAGTAAGTGCACTTGTTGGAGACAGCATTAAAGCTACCTGTAATGTTATGCATGAAGCAGCAGTACCTTGCACGAGCAGGGAGGCAAAGCATGTGACCTGCCCGGCCTCGTTCACCACCTGGCAGGTGTACTCCCCGCTGTGAGTCGCCTCACAGGAGGGGATCCTGAGGACTGCCTCTTTGTTCTCAAACACCCTCTCAATCTGTGGACCCTCTGGGATCCAGGTCCCGTCCTTTAGCCAGTGGACACAGAGAGGCTGAGAGCCCTCCACTGTGCAGCGAAACAACGCCACCTCTCCCAAATTAGTGGATACATGTTCTATCTTCTTTACAAATGTTGGAAGGACTAATGCAAAGGAAAGATGTGGTTGTATTAACAGAAAGTGTTCAGAGGTGTAAACCTAATAAATGTCAGTGAAATGTAAAACCAACCTTTCAGAGATAACACCGCAACACTGGAACAACTGCCAGCCTCGTTGGCTACCATGCACTGATATGGCCCAGAATCCCCAGCGTTACAGTCCTGGATCTGCAAGCTCACATTTTCACTATCAGCGATAATATACTTCTTACTGGATTTGATTGGCTGTTTATCTTTGAACCATGTGACCTTAAACGGAGAACTTCCTCCCACTTTGCCTGCAAACACAGCTGGAGAACATTGAACAACTTCCAGAGACGTCAGCTCTGCAACAAACCGAGGAGGCTCTGAAATAGAGAAAGCAGAGGACCTGAAGCAGGCTGTGGTTTGTTTCAGTGAAGCAGGATGTATCTCTAACACGAGGGACACCAACCTCTCACTTCCAGCTCCACGCTGCAGCTCTCTGTCCCGGCCTTGTTGGAGGCTTCACAGAAGTATTTCCCGCCATCATGCTCACTAACTTCCCTGATCTCTAACGTGGCTGCAGAGTTTTTAAACGCTGTCTGGTGTTTGACGCTCTGGTGGATCTCAGCTCCGTCTCTGAACCAGCGCACAGAGATCGGAGGAGAGCCCCCCACCTGACACTCAAACACCTGATTGCCTCCCACTCTGACCACTGACACACCCTCCGGTTTGTCAATGAAAAAGGGCGGTTCTGGAAAAACACACACAGGCGTTATTGAGCATGGTGGTCAGAACAAAGTAAAGACTATTGATAAAGAGACTAATATGAACCTTTCACAGAGAGTGTTGCCCGACAGGAAGTGGCGCCCACAGCGTTCTGTATCTCACACACATACTCTCCAGAGTCAGAAGCTTTAGCAGAGAGAAGCTCCAGAGAGCTGGACGAGGTGTGTCTGACCACAGAGCGATCAGCACTGGATATCATCTCCTTCCTGTTTGTAAACCATTTGATGGTCAGCGGCGGCGTGCCAGAGACGCCAACATGAAACCTAACCGTTGACCCCGGCAACACACTCATGGACTCAGGCTTTTCAAAGATGCATGGTGGATCTGTTGGTGGATAACACTGTTGTTATAACATGTAAAACAACAAATGCAATGTGAACCTGGTACAGAGTTGTGAGGATAAAGTCTAACCTTTGACCACCACCGCCCTGGAGCACCGCTCTGATCCCGCCCTGTTTGAAGCCATGCACGTATAGCTGCCGCTGTCTGTACTGTCCACACCACTGATCTCCAGGAAAGCAACATTTTCATAGAAAGAGCACTTGTGTTTATCATCAGAGCGGACCTCCTCCTCCTCTCTGAACCACTGTACTGTCATCGGCAGCGAGCCGGACACCAGGCACTCGAGATGAGCAAACGATCCTCTGATAGCTTCTGTCTCCGTCAGCCCTCTCGTGAAAGACGGTGGAAAAATCTGATCTAAGACATGCAGAGTGCAGAAACAGTGTTCAGCTGCTTGAATAAATGAAATAGACTCATTAGAGTTATGAAACCTCGGAATAAACTGACCTAAGATAGTAACGGCTGCCTCACAAGAGCTGCAGCCGGAGGCGTTAGAAACCTGGAAGCAGTATTCCCCGCTGTCCCTGAGCTCTGTTTTACTGAAACACAGCACCGAGCTGCAGTCTGAGCTCTGAATCCTGAATCTCCTGCCTGACGTCAGCTCCTGACCCGCCTTCATCCACCTGCACCTGAGCGGCTTGGTGCCTGAGAACCGGCACTCGAGCCGGGCCGGGTCCCCCTGCGTTACACTGACGGAGCTCGCTTGTTCTGAAATACTTGCTGGCTCTGGGATTTCAAAAGTGCGATACACAGTTAGCTGCTCCCACTGACAGACGTTAAGCGACAGAGTAAACAGAAAGCTGGACATGAAAGCAGAGAAGACAATAAAACGTCCTACAAACCTTTGACTATGAGCATGGTGGCACATCGCTGAGTCCCGGCTCGATTCTGAGCCTGACACACATACTTCCCGCCGTGGGATATCTGAGCATTTCTCAAAACCAACTCTGCTCTTTGAGTTTCAAAAGACATCTTAATGTGCTCGTCTTCTGAGAGCTCAATGTCGTCCTTGATCCAGCAGAGAGTCATGGGAAGTGATCCAGACAACAAACACTTCATAGTGAGCTCAGAGCCCACCATGCAGGACATATCCTCTAGTCTCTCAATAAATGAGGGGGGTTCTAGTGGGAGAAGACCACAGATCAGACTGTAGGAGGTTTACACAAACACACAGGAACCACATGCACATCTAGCTCCTTGATATACTGCACTAATGCTCTAAAAAGACTTCAGAAATCATGTTGTGGTGAATTGCACAGAAGTTGAACCCAGTTGGGCACCATGTGCAGACATAACCTTGGTATGTTTTACTATTGGTTGACTAACCTTTCAGGGAAATCTGGCAAGAACATGAAGTCTCTCCGACATCGTTAGTAACCGAGCACCGGTACGTGGCGGCGTCAGCCATCTCACACTTTGAGATGTGAAGAGTGACCGTGTCCTTCTCAACACTGACTTTATGTCTTTGGTCGTTTCTGATCAGCTTCTCATTGAGGAAGCAGTTTATTTCGTATGGAGGGGAACCTGAAACGAGTCCTTCCAAGAAAATGTCGGCTCCCTTTACGAGCTCGGCTGATTCAAAAGACCTCACAAACTCTGGAGGGTCTACAACACAAAGATGGTAGATGGTAAGTTGAAAGAAAACAGAGGAATGAACAGTGGGTTCTAGGGTCAGTCTGGTCCACAGAGTTCATTCAGCTGTTCAGAGACTCCAGGGTAAGCTCCAAAGGTAATGCGTTTTCCAAATAAGAAACACAGAGCTGTTTTAGATCAGATTAGAAACTCTGATGAATGGACTCTTTTAAAGACCGGAAGTCCTGCCAGTATCTGCAGCATTGAACAGAAACATGTGGACCAGACTTCAGGCCTGTATTAAGTCTATGTTTCTAGGGTGAACTCTGAAATCTGAACCAACCTTGGACCGTGACGGAGGTGCTGCACTGGTCGCTGCCGGCCTCGCTGGACGCCGTGCACACAAACTCTCCACTATCCTGCACGGAGCAGCTGTCCACCTCCAGAGACGCTACAGAGCTCTCGAAGGACATGCTGTGTCTGCGGTCTGCACAGATCTCTGAGCCATTTTTAAACCATTTGATGGCAATAACAGGCGTGCCTTGCACTTTGCAGGACAGCTTTAAAGGCTGTCCGGTTTTCAGCAGCTGTGAAGGCTCGAGCCTCATTGTAAATGTTGGGGCTTCTGTAATTGAACAGTTACAGTAAGAGGTTAAGTAAAGAAAATCACAGTTCAGTGCAACACTTTAGAGAAGAGAGAAGGAAACAGCACCTGTCACAAAGAGGACTGCGGTGCAATCCACCTTCCCAGCATCATTGGACACCTGGCAGGTGTATTTAGCCGAGTCACTGGGTTTTACAGACTGAAGCTCCAGAGAGCTGAAAGAGGAGTCTTTCTTTATGAAGCACTTCCCCCCAGTGAACACCTCCTTCTCCTCTCTAAACCATTTAACCACCAGAGGAGCGGATCCTGTGAAGGCTGATTTGATCACAACATGTGAGCCCGGTGAGGCGTCCTGGGACTCGGGTCTCACCGTGAAGACCGGAGGTTCTGGAGTTATTTGGGAAGAAACAGAGCAAACAGAGCCTTTCAATACCGTCTGATGGTTTGTAGAGTTGCTGTTTAAGCTGATGTTAAAGGGACTGCTCTAACCTTTGATGGACAGAGTACCGATGGTCTCTTTCTGTCCGGCACCATTAGCCGCCCGGCAGGTATAAACTCCCCCGTCGCTCAGAGTCAGACCCGTTATCGTCACTGAGGCTTTAATCTCAGTGAAGTCAACCTTATATTTGCCATGGCTGTGGATCTCCTTATCATCTTTGAACCAGTTAACAACCATGGGCTGAGATCCAGCCAATCGGCACTCCAAGGTGACATTACTACCAACACTGCCGTCCACCTTCTTCAGAGCCTTGGTGAAGGACGGTGGGACGGCTCGATCTGTGGAAGTATATCAAACAAATGATTGCCTGTCTCTATCTCTTCAGAATCAAACTCTATTTGGTTCTCACACTAACCTAGGACAGTGACGGAGCTGCTGCACTCGTCTTTGCCCACTTTGTTGGAGACCTCCATCCTGTACTCTGAAGAGTCTCCCTTATCTGCCGAGAGGATCTTTAGAACGGCGGTGTTTTCCTTGACGCTCATCTTATATTTGCGGCCACTGATCACCTCCTTGCCGTCTTTGAACCATTTCACTGTGAGCTCTGGGCTTCCTGTGATGGTGCACTCCAGTGTGGCCGAGTCTCCTGTGCTCACACTGATGGAGGCGGCTCTCTCTAGGATGCTAGCAGGCTCTATAACACAAGACGGTGTATTAATATCTACATCTGCAGAACACTTCTAAAGAGAGCTGCAGGAATCCGCCCTGAAGTCCCCTGGTCTGGAGGTCGATGGTTTTCTGAATGTGTTTTTGGTTGTTATCCTGAAGTAAGGTCTGTGGTTAACACTAGCTGAAGAGATTTTGACGCTTTGCTCTACCACATAAGCCAACATTAGCCGCCTTTAGCTTAGTGCTGGTGACGTGAAGTCATGTGACCGGTAGTTCCTTTATAGCCTAACGTTAGCTTTTTACTTCAGAAATCATAAAGTAGCGTTAATATGTGGAGATTATCCTTTTGAACTAAACGTGTAAGTATCAGAAACGTTTCGTTTTTTTGAGTTGTTTGAATCCAAAATCACATGGAGAAATCCCATTGGACCAGGAGATGCTGCCTTCAGGGTCCCGCAGCTCTGTATTATTCGGATATGTCTCTAACCTTGAATTGTTAACACAGCTTCACATTTCTGCTGTCCCGCCTCATTTTCAGCAAGGCAAGTGTACTTGCCGCCATGTTTAATGTCGCAGGATGAGAAGGAAATGCAGGCTACGTTGTTCTCAAAAATCATTTTGACGGTTGGATCATCGTCTCTGAGCAGCTCAGAGTCTTTCATCCATTTCACAGTGATGGGTGTGGAGCCTTTGAGACTCCCCTGCAGCTTCACTGTGTTTCCCAGCACCGCTGTAGCACTCTCAATCCTCTTAGAGAACATCGGAGGCTCTGCAATAACAGTGATGATATTAACAACAGCCCACAGTATCTATAGTAAGAGTCCTTTATTTCTCTACATCACTAACCTCTCTGTTTAGCCAGTGACTTGGCGGTGACGGACCCCACCTCGTTAGAGACCACACACTCATACTCCCCAGCGTCAGCGCTCTCGAAGGAGTGGATCTCCAAAGAGCTCAGGGCTCCCTGAGACAATATGCGGTACTTCTTATCTGTCGACAGGCGCTTCTTATTCTTTTTCCAAGACACTTCGAATGGTGCCGAGCCGGATATCTCACACTCCAGCACCGCTACAGACCCTCGGACCGCCTCTAAGGAAGGGGGCTCCTTCCTGAAAGAGGGCGGCTCTACAGGGGACAGATGGCTAAGTTAGACTAAAGGCACTAATGGGTCCAGTTCACAAGGTCGTATTGGCTGGTCTCAATCGGAGTGATGTGTAGACTTGATTATTATTTATGTTTCAAGGTAACAAGTGAAAACTCTATTTACTAAGGGGCATGATAGAAGTAGCATGGAATAGTCTATCTTTCTGGTCATAGTTTGTCTTACATTTACTTTGCACTTATCTCCTGTCTGCAAAAGCCCCGTCTGCTCCAATTTATCTCAACAACATTATACACGTCACTGTTTTTGTGGATTTCATTTAGGAAAAGATGAAGCGTTTGTTGTTTGGCATCAGAGATTGATCCATGAACTCAACCAAAGGCACCGCACCAGATGTGTTTTGAAACAGACTAAATCTGCCTAGCTGTGGTTCTGTGTAACTCAGCCTACACACCTTTCACTGTGACCTTAGTGCTGCAGCTCTCACAGCCCGACTCATTGAGCACCTCGCAGGTAAAGTTCCCGCTGTCACTCAATGTGACATCCTTTATCTCAAGAGTGGTGACCCCGTCCTTCAGACTGATCTCGTACCGGCCGCCTGCTGACAGCTGGCTGTTATTAAAGAACCATGAGGTGTGGAGTTCAGGCGACCCTTTGACGGAGCACTGCAGCCGGGCGGTGCTGCCCTGTCTCCAGGCCGAACTCGCCTCCAGCCTCTTTACAAAGACCGGCGACTCTGCAGAGCAGGTGGTGAGAAAGAACCAGTATGAAGAGGGCATTCAAAATAACAACCAAGAAGAAAGGGGACACATTAAAAAAGAAGAAGACATGACAGAATACATGGTGTTACTTTTCAGTACTACAGATTTGCAATAGCTTCAAATACTGCAGTGATCATGAAAATTAACTAGACAGCTCTTACCTTGGACTTTCACTGAGGTGGAGCACGAGGCACTCCCTGCTTCATTTGTCACTGTGCACACATAATTCCCACAATCTCTCAGTGTGGTCTTTTGGATATCAAGGGTAACGGTCTTATCCTCAAAGGACAGTTTACAGTCCGGAGACTGGTGCACCTTTCTACCGTCTCTTGTCCAGGACACCGTGACCCCGGTGTCCTCATCCACCTGAGCCTCCAGGTGCAGAGGGGCCCCGACCACAGCAGCCATAGGGCCCAGAGGCTGCACAAAGCTGGGCTTATCCACCACCCGCAGCTCCATGCTGCTCTCAGCTGAGCCAACACTGTTGGACAGCTGGCACACATAAAGCCCCCGGTCTGAAGGCTCCAGCCGGGTTATCTCAAGAGTGTGCTTATTCTTTTCACAAGACATTTGGTAGTGTGTCGGCACTTTGGGCAAGGCCTGGCTGTCTTTGAGCCAGACCACATTCAGTGGAGCAGATCCTGTTACCTCACACTGTATCAGAGCCCTCTTTCCAACAAACACTGTCTGAGGGTCAGGTTTAGTTATAAAGGCGGGGGGGCATTGCTCTAAAAGGATTAGAAAAAACAGAAAGACATTAGTAGAACATGTTATACCTGGTTCTGGACCAACACCTGCCGGTTGGACAGAAGCTCTCCAGCGGAACAAGAACAGGTTCAACCAACCAAAGTTAGAACCAGCAAAGGATGAAACAAACCCAAAACCAGCGAAGAAGAAGGAAACGTGCTTTGCTCTTACCCGTCACTTTGAGGGAGGCGGAGCATTCGTCAGAGCCGTGCTGATTGATCGCCTTACAGGAGTATTGACCACTGTCCTCTCTGTTGGGGCTCAGCAGCTCCAGAGAGGAGGTCCTGAAGCGACTGATAATCCTGTATTTATCTCCTTCTTTGATGGGCTGACCATCTTTGAACCACTTGAAGCTCACATTCGGAGCGTCTTCAGTTTCACATTCAAACTTGGCAATGTTGCCAGTGTTGATCTCCACAGGGGCGATCCTGTGCCTGAACACAGGCTTCACTGTGAAGGAAAGTAGAAACACAGTGAATACACAGAGTGATGAGACATGGAAGATGGATGTTTGTACTGGTGGTGGGATGGAGTGAACCTGGATGGGAAGTGCAACACATGGTAGTCCTGCTGTGACCGTGGAGGAGAAAATGGTATTAGGGTTGAAGATGTGATGAAACTGTGACAAGAAGAGCAGAGAACGCATGCAAAGAGAAATGGACCAGGAAGCAGGACTGATGGAAGATGTAAGGTATGGAGCCAAAGGTGATTCCTTAAGAGGATAAAGGAATGGATGTGGGGTGATTGGTGGAGCAATGGACCAAAGTGTCGCTGCTGTTTGTTAAAAACCTGAAACATCCCAATATCATTTTACTAAGCAAACACCCAAAGAGACTTTTTCAGTTTTTTAAGATTAAGTCGGACACTAACTAGTAGTTAATTATAAAATGTGGTTGAGTTTACAGACAGCAGCTTTAGAAACGGTGAGGTTAGTTGATGATTGTAAAGAACGGGCCATCATCAAACCTCTGGAGACCACAGTGAGTCGTGAAGACGTTGTCGTCCTGCCGGCCTCGTTCTCAGCCTCACAGACAAACTCCCCCTGATGCCTCTCCTTCACCACTTTGTGGATAACTAGTGTGTATGTGTCTTGGTCAGCAGAACACTTGAACTCTTTTCCAGATTTCAGCAGTTTACCGTTAAAAAGCCAGTTCACTTTGGCGACATATTTTATCGTGGCAGTAAAAACTGCCTTACCGTTTTCCTCCACGCAAACATCTTCCAGAGAGCTAACGACAACGGGATAATCAGCCAGACTGTCGGAGGACTCGCTGATCATGACGGCCTCTGAGAGATACTCCTCTCTGGTTTCTCTGTGGACACTAACATCCACAAGATGTTCAGCAGGGATCTGACACACGGGCCCGGTTCTGGTCGCCTCAGCAGCGCCGGCAGTCCTCTCTGAACGGACCGTCTTTCTGCTCACCTGCCGCGACTCGTGAACCTCAGTCCGGCTCTGAACCGTCACACTTTGGAAGGAAGCACTGGCTTCTGTTTTGACGGCTGCGGACTGAGACACATTGGGAGGAAACCCAACGGCGCTCTCTGCCAACACTTTGGTGTCCACCACAGACGATAAGACCTCTCTGGAGGACGCTGAGCTGAGCAGCACTTTCTGAGGCTTGTCGATTTGCATGGTGCCCGGCTGCTCTGCGGTGAGACTCTGCTGCTCCTGGAAGACCAGAGCATGCAGAGCGACCTGCAGTTCAGACCTGAGGTCAGCCGTCTGAGGGTATTGCCCTTCAAAAGACACAGTGATCTCCATCGGGACGCCTGGAGATGTGATCAGATATGTAGATGAGGCCCGTTTGGGCTCTCTCTGAACCTTCACCTCCTGCACCTGCACCGCCTCTAACCGGCCCACAACGTCGGCCAGAAGCACCGGCTGATCGCTGGCCACGGCCGACTGCAGAGCGTCTCTGAGCTGACGTCGTATATTCAGACTGGACGCTTTGGGGATCTGAATGATGAAGTTGAGCTCTTTGGGGAGGGTCAGAGTGTCCTGACACTCATGGACAAACAGAGGTCCTTCAGGCTGGGTCAGGACGCTGACGATCGAGGCTTCAGATTTATGAATCTCACTGGACTGCTCTCCCATAATGACCTGTTTCTCTTCTAACAGCACAGACTGTCGCACTGACTGTCCTTCTTGGATCTGGACTGCAAAGTCCTGCTCTGCTGCCTCTAAGATAGTACAGCTTTCATTAGCAACTGCCTTCTCCTCTATAAAGATAGTTTTCTTGGGGATTTTAGGTTCAACCTTCATTGCAGGCTTCCATTTCTCATCAGCTTGAATGTTGTCAGTGTGACCCTCTTCAAGGCTTTGAGTGTCTGTTACATTCAGAGACTGCTTGATGTTCCAGCTGTCCTCTTTCTGGACCAGCGCTCGCTGTTGCTGAACGTCAGTAATGATTGGCATCTCCTTGGGTAGCGCCATCTGCTGGCAGGAGACCATGAGGATGTTTAGAGGCCAGGGCTCGGTCCGAAGCTGGGTCTGAACCCCGGTCACCGACACATCCAGATCTGAGTGATAATCTGCTGTGATCTCCCGCCTCTCCTCTGAGCTAGCTGCATGCTTCCGAGCCTTTTCCTGTTTCTGTGCTGCCACCTGCTGGTCAGGTTTGGAGACAGTAATTATCCCTTCCTTTGGCAGAACTGATAGAGAGTGAACTGACTGGAGGTATTTAGTTGGCGGTGACTCTTTCTTCGGCTGAACGGACACCGCGGCAGTCTTTGCTGAGAACTCTGAGCTTGCCTCACAAACCGCTGTTCTGTGGTCTTCTTCAGTCACTGAATGCAACACAGTGGGACTCTTCCTGGCCACAGCCTGCTCTACAGGAGGCCTCTCACTGCTGAACCTGCCTTCAGACTGCAGGACATCCTGGTCACTGATCACCTGTAGGTTCAGGAGTCTTTCTCCCTCCTGCTGAGGCTGCAGACTCACAGACGAGTCTAAACCCGGAAGCCGCCCTGCCTCCTCCCCCTGCAGCTGGTACTTCTCTTCAGCAGATACCGCTGATTTATAGAGAAAGTCTTTGTGGGGGGTGATGCTCTCCTGATCTGGTCTGTGGATTTTAAACTCCTGCTCTTTGGATAAAGCCAAACGGGTCTCACTCATTGGTGCTACAACTGGTTTAGATTGTTCTTTCTCAATCAGAGGCTGAGAGGCTGCATCTAAAGCTGGCAGCGGCTCTGAGTGTCTCTCAGTGACGGGCAGCTGCCCTGCAGACTGAGCCGAGTATAAGATCTTAACCCCTTCTGTGACCCTGAAGCTCCTCTCCTCCTCCGGTCTGAGGGTCACGCCCGAGGTTTCATCAAGGATCGGCAGATGGGTGTCCACTTGGTGACCGCTAACGAGCTGCCGGGCTTCAATACAAGTGCTGACCTGCTCTGGGACCCAGTCTGTCAGGGCCTCGGCTCTCACGGAGCTGAGTGGCAGGACCTGTTGGGACGTGGCCGACATCAGCTTTGTCAGCCTCTCTTTGGCCGGCTGGAGCTCTACGATCTCTGGGCTGAGGATCCGCTCGGAGTGCTGCTCGGTGATCTTCTGCCTCTCCTGGACCGAGGATAGGAACGTGGCCATGTGAAGCTGTTTCACGGGAACAGCTGAGACCTGAGGGGGGTGGGTGGCCGCCACAGAAACCCTCTCCTGTATGTGGTGCGCCTGCAGCACCGCGGCCTGCTGGGTAATCTGCTCACGGTGCAGGGTGGCGGCGGAGATATCCAGCTCTCTGAGGGTGCCCACCTCCTCACTAGGGATAATCTGCCGGTCCTCAGTACTGATGGTGTAAATCATCTGGTCTGACAGAGTCCTTTTCTGGTATAATCTGGACTCTGTGGTTTGTTCGGTCATGGATATTTTCAGACCTTTAGTTTTCTGAGCTGTGGACACGAGCAGCTCTGCAGAACAGGAGGCCTCCCCATGGTGGTTGGAGGCCTTGCAGGTGTACATGCCGCTGTGCTCTAGTTTGACTTCTTTGATGTTAATAAAGCCCGATCCATCTGGGTTGTTCACAATGATACAGAACCCACCGGGCTGAATGTGCAAGCTGCCTTTAAACCACTGAACGCTGGGGAAAGGGTCTCCGGTCACAACGTACCTAAAGAACGCCTGACCGCCCTCCGACAGCTGCTGGGACTCGATGGCTTTAGTGAACTCTGGGGGGTTCCCTGCTGCTACAAACCTCTTCCTGTCTACTCTCTCCTGCTTTTCTGGCTCCTTCACCTCAACATGCAGGTAAGAAGTGCAGGTGGACTGGCCAAATCTGTTGCTGACGGTGCAGACGTACTCACCCTCAAACTCCCTCTGAACCCTGTTAATCACTAAGCTGTACTCGTCTCGCTCATGGACCAACGTGTACACGGGGGAGCTCGTTATGGTCTGCCCCTTGTGGAGCCACTGCACCACGGGCTTAGGGAAACCGGACACAGTGACGGTAAACCTAGCAGTTTCTCCGATAGTCACAGCGGCTGGAGAGAGTTTGCTGAGGAAAACTGGTTTCTCTTTTTTCTTCTCCAAAGAACTGGAGAAACGTTTGGAATCTGGTTTGAGTTCAAGTGTTCTGGTTTTATCTGGGAGCTTTAGGCCGGTGTTGTACGAGTCCCGGGTGTCCTCTTCCACTACGAGGGTTGAGCTAGAGAAGGCTTGGGGTAATGACAATCAAAAGTTAAGTCAGACATGCAATAACAGTATAATCTATCACACGTAAACTTTAACCTGTTCAACCCTGAGCCTGTTTTTCAGGTCTCAGGCTCGAAAATGACATTCCCAGAACAAATGACCATATCTTCTAAAAGGGTTAAATTAATAATCTTTGTTCTCAAAGTAATGATAAACCTGTGAGTTGGATGTAGAAAAGTCAGAAATCAATATAGATGTTTATATATATATATATGCCGTGAGACACAGTCTCGAAAAAAACCGGGGGGACCCCAGTGCTTAAGAGGTTAACAGAGAGACAACTCTGTCCTCCGATGGAGACAGAGAGATGCAGTTAGCTTGATATACAATCTGCAGGTGGATCCTGAGTTAAAGAGGCCCTATTCTTCTTCTGTGGTGTTCGATCTCCTGTAGTTACATAGGTGTTAGTGCATGTAAATGGTCTGCAAAGGCTAAAATCCATGTGTTTCCTCCAGATGGAGTTTCTCTCCCACACACTTTTGTGTTTTGGAAACATAGTTTGCACAAGTGTAAATAAAACTCAAATACGTTGTAAATTGAAATACTCGTAAAACATTTTGAAACATCAAATGTACTTAAATACACGGCAACCTGAAGAAAAAAAGTTAAAGAGGCATTATTATTCTTCTTCTGTGGTGTTCCCTCTCCTGTAGTCTGTTCTATAGATGTTAGTGCATGTAAATGGTCTGCAAAGGCTAAACTCCCTGTGTCCCTGTTTTGGAAGTATGGTTTGCACAAGTGTAAACAACTTCAAATACTCAAATAACATTTTGAAACATAAAATCGACTTGATTACCCGGCAACCTGCAAAGAAACAGTCATAACAAAGTAAATCCTCCTTAGTTGAGACATTAGAAACAGTTTACGACGCGGATGATATTTACCTTTCAAATCGTCGCGGACCTGAGCTCCAGGTTTCTGTTCCTCTGCAGTGACTGTAGAGACACAAACGGTCACAAATTAAAATCACTCTCCAAACTGGACACAACGTCTTATATGGTGCAAGTCTGTTAGAATCAGTGACAGCTCGTGCATCCATACATTCCCTTTGCCTTCAGTTGACTACAGTTCTTGCATGCTTCCCCTGGATCCTAAGTGTGCAGCAGCACCTCAGTGGTATGAGTGTCCCTGGCTCTTATTAAGTCAGTAAAGCGGGACCCAAAGAGCCTCCGGGCCCCGAGTGAAGCAGTGAGTCTCTGCTGGCTGTGTGGGAGAGCAGTGTGAAGGGCCAGAGAGAGGCCGAGAGAGCAGAAGGACCAAAAGCATGCAGATGCCAACCTTTCGTCACTTTGCTGCCGGACTGTTTGAAAGTGGGTCCCACAGTTTTAACATTCACTCGGCACAGGGGGCCGTCATGTTTCACAGAGAAAGACACAGAGTCCTCAACACTCAACCGCTTGTAAAGCCAAATGACAAACGGCGTGGGGAGCCCCATCCTAACGCAACACAGGGGGGCGCTGTGGGGGCTCCTGAGCAGCTCCGGGGGGAGTTTGATGAGGAAGTCGGGGGAGCCTCGCTTGTCCTGAGGGAGGATGTCCGGGAAGTGCATCTGTTTGATGAGGCTGTAGGGATGAAACTCCCCCAGACTCTCCGCCTCCTCCGGCTTATCGGGCTCAGGGAGGTCTCGAGACCCCCTGTCTGTCTGTGACACTTTACGCACAGAATCGATAGGGATTGAGGTTTCTGCTTTGAGATTCGCTTCTTTCGCTGGGTGAGATAAAGTTAGGGAGAGTCATTAGAGAGGATAACTCATTAACACTAAAGGGGTTAGTAGGATGGATGGGGGGGTTAGGGAGCGGAGCTGGAACAGCGGGTTATTCTACATCCTGCCGGTTACAGGTAGGGATGCCCCGACCCAGCGGGAAGTAGTCAGAAAACAAACATATATAATATATAAAAGAACCAATTAGGCTGACAGCCGTACTCTGATACTCTGAGTGAGCAATAACACTAATGCTAACAGAGGTTGCATTGCGTTACATTGTGATGTTTTCTGTGTTCAGAACAAATTAGTAGAATATAATGTTATTATGATGTGTTAAAATGTTATCTTGTAAAATGTAGGTTTTGTTAAACAAATTCAGATATTAGAGGGAAATATGACGTGTTAAACTTCAAAACATTAGCAGCTTATATACGCTAATATATATATATATATATATATATATATACTACGTCTTTATAACTACTAATGCATATATTAAGAAAAATGCATTCAATATTTATTTCCTTACCATTTCAATTGTTTGCTTCTATGCAAAATAACCAATATAGATGTCAACAGAAAACTAAAGGATAACCTTTAGACTTTGGGATGGTTAAATATATAATGTAACATAATATATATGTCTTCCAGCTGCTATCAGAAAACAAAGAACACTTGTTTGGGTGGATAAGGCTCGGGGCATCTCTATCTACAGGCTGAGAGGAAATGAAGAGGCGGGGAGGCGCAGAAGATGGAGCAGGGGGGGGTTGGATGGACCAGATAAAAAAGAAAGAGTAAGCACCTTCCACCGTGAGCTGGGCGGAGCAGCTGTTCTGTCCGTGCTGGTTAGCGGTGGTGCAGCAGTACAAACCCTGATCCAACACGCCAACGCCCTGGATTACCAGGGACAACAGCCTGCCGCTCTGAGAGCTCCTCACCCGCTCACAGTCCACCACACTGTGGCCGTTATGATCCCACGCCACCCCGGTGAAGGGCTGCCCCTCCACCAGGCAGCTGAACTCGGCCATCTCGCCGCTTTGCACCTGGACGTCGCTCATTTCCACCAGCAGCCGGGGGCGGGCTGAGGTCTGAAAGCTGCTTTCAGAGCTCATCTCCACCGAGCTCTGTGTCTCAACCGTCCTCCAGGACAGGGACGAGCTCTCAGACAGCGTCTCAGTAAAAACACTCTGACTGACATTCCCACCGATCATCACACTAGCTAAGGCTGTCCCATCTGGGCAGTAAAGAGAGTAAAGAGTTAGGTCAACACAGCATCATTCTTCCTCAGATGTTCCAGGAGCTGGAGGAGCGCTGAGGTCAGTCAGGATCGGGGGGGGGGGGGGGGGTGACAGACTGCGGCTGCTTTCCACTGTCAATCATGCAAGCTTGACTGGAGCCAAGTCAAAACCAAATAAAAGCTAAGGACTAAGTCCGTGCTTGAGTATGAGGAACCCGGAAAGCTGTTCCAGAGTTCAGCTCTGATGGAGCATGCTGCATTCCTCTGAAATAAAGAGTCGTAAGATATTTGGTGAAGGAAGAGAGACGCTCATGCATCACGTGAGAGAAGAACCCTGGAAGATCACCGGTGCTCAGTGAGAGGTCGGAAACAGAAGCTGATAAAGATATCTGTCGGCATGCTATCAGAAACTACAGTCAGTTGAACCAGCAACAAAATAAACATAACACACTCTTCCTGAAGGCTGCTTGCACAAAGATGTTGTTGTCTGTAAAGATAGAGACAAACTCATGTGTTGATGTTAAGGATGAACTCTCCAGTCCCAAAATAAGAGAGTCTGGAGTTCCCCAGGGAAGCGTCCTGGGACCTCTTCTATTCCTAATGATTTCATATCAAGTGATGTATGTTTCTATGCAGATGATGTAGCTTGCTCTTGTAGTTTAATAGATGCAAACCCTAAACACAGAGCTTATGATGGTTGGTAATTAGGTGAAGTTATAATAAATTCTCCATCTATCTGTTCTGCCAGAACTGAGCCTGGTTTATTTGGGTCTAGATGTTATTTAAAGAGATCTTTGACCATTTCTGGTGCCAATATCCTGATGTCTTTGTGCGATCAGCCGCAGGAGAGCGAACACACTTCACCCTGAACCATGCAGTCTTTTATTGGCTCAATAAAGGGCTTTTATTTGTTCCAAGCATGCTTCTTTATATATTTGAAGCATGAAGTGGTTGTTAAGGACATAATATAAATCTAAATATGATATAACACTCATTGTTAGTTCTAGACACCTACAATACTCCGTTAGCTAACAGGTCATTTCAGGTTCAGTTTCTAAATGAAAGAAAGAGAGGACATTTTGTCAGGGCTATACTCGCAAAAACGCAAAAGGATACAAAAAGATGTGGAAATATCAACGTCTAACGAGACCTGTTTGCAGATTAGAGGGACTCGCTTTGGATGAATGTATCTTCAGCATTCTGTAAAATGGAGCTGATTCCAACATATAAGACCAAGAGAAGACATGTTGAGCTGAAGACCAGCTTGGTGGTTAAACATGCAGCAGAGTGTTTGACTCATGCAGGGAGACAGTTCGATCTGGAGCCTGGATCACTCACCGTCGATATTCAGAGTCGCAGCACAGGTGACCCTTCCTGCTGCGTTTGAGGCCATACATGAGTACTCTCCCTCGTGCTTGGAGAGGGTTTTAGAAATGTCCAACTGGTAAGTTTCACCAGAACGAGACATCCTGAAGATGTCTGAGTCCCTGACCTCTCGGTCGCCATAGAACCAGGAAACCTGCAGATCTGCAGACACATCGTCACTCAGCAGCGTAACACCACTTATGATCAGAGGACTGCAGACATAATGTTCTGACAGCATCTCTTCTTTAAACCAGGCGTGTTCCCTACCTTCCCCAGAGACGGTGCACTGGAACTGGGCCGGGAACCCCTCTGCAACCAGGAGGTCCCTCATGGGGTCTTTGAGCACCGGGGCAGAAACCCGGGATTCAGTCTCGTGAACTGAAGACAAACACATGAGCAGTGGTTATCAAGCAGGTTGTTTGTCACGTTTAAATATTTAACAAGACTTGGTCAAAACGTTGTCACCGTTAGCTGTGTTTTCATTATTGGATGATATACCTAAAAGGTTGCATCGAAACAGCAAAACTCAATAAAACGTGCTCAATTTAAGAAAAGGACTCTCTTGAGGTGGTTTTCCATTTGTGTTAAAAGAGTTGATGCTAATTTGAAATTCTTCTGCAGAATAAGTTGTTACATCCCATGGCTGATCAGCTGTTTCTGCCAATAAATATATTATGTTGTCCTCGTGAAACATAGTCAATTCACGCTGACCTGAGAGAAGAACTAAAACCTCCTGGAGGTGAGCAATACTGTTATATTTTTAAATGTTATTATAGTTTTCTTAAAATAGTTCTCTATCTGTGTTTTACCTTTCTGTCTGCACCACGACACCAAGTCAAATTCCTCGTACGTGTCAACCTACCTGGTGATAAACCTGATTATGATTCTGATGTAGAGCGTACCTTCGACGGTGAGGGTGGCGGAGCTCATGGCCTCTCCGAAGTCGTTCCTGGCGGCACAGCTGTAGACGGCGGCGTCCTCGGGGTAGACGTCCAGCAGCATCAGCGTGTGCTCGTTCTCGTCATGGAGGATCTTGCACTTTGAGTCTGTGATCAGCATCTGGGAGTCTTTGTACCAGGAGACAGTGGGCATCGGCAGGCCGCTCACCTGTACCGTGAAGCGTACCGAGCGCCCGGAGGAAACGGTCTGAGGCTGCATCTGCCGCTCGATCTGAGGAGGCTCCGGCACTGAAGCACACACAGAAACCTCAGAATATAGGACAACAGATGTATAGCATTGAAAACATGGAGGTGGAGGTCACTCACGCCTGACTCGGAGGTTCATGGTGGTCCGGTTCTTCCCGGCGATGAAGGTGTATTCTCCCGCATCGCTCCTGAAGGTCTCCGTCACGGTGAGGCGGTGAATCCTCCGGATGCAGACGTAGTTGAAGCGCTGCTCCACAGAGAACTGGATCTCCACGCCGTTCCTCAGCCAGCGGCCCTCCACCTCGTCCTCGTTCACCTCCAGCTCAAAGGTGGCGCGCTGCTTCTCCAGAACCTGAAAATAAACCACACCAAGGCTTTAATCCGGAGAACTGAGATCCAGGAGGTCTGTTATAGTTCTAATGTGTCTTAATGCTCTTAATGTCTTTCATTTATCTAAAGCACTTCGTGTTGAAAGGTGCTATATTACATTACATTGCATTACATTACATTTAGCTGAGGCTTTTATCCAAAGCGACTTACAATAAGTACATTCGACCAGGAAGACACAAACTTGAAGAAAACAGAATCATAAAGTACATCAGGTTTCATAGAGCCAAAACATTTCAAGTGCTACTCAACTGGCTTTAGATAAGCCAGTCCTTAATTAGTATATAAGTGCTTTGTTAATAGTTCTATCGCTCGAAGTGGATACACTTGCCTTGCATATAGTTATATCTGTATATCATTTTTGTTTTATCTTTCATTTGTGTAATCTTTAATCTTGTGCCGTCCTGTTTTTCATTCTTACCCTGTTGCTGTGTAAACCACAATTTCCCTTTTTTACTTTAGATTCAACTTATTGTCATTACGTACTACAGGTTCTATGTAACGAAGCGGTTTCTCTGCATTCGACCCATCCTAGTGTTAGGAGCAGTGCGCTGCCATTATGTACGGCGCCCGGGGAGCAGTGTGGGGAACGGTGCCTTGCTCAGGGACACCTCGATAGCACTTGGTCTTTCTGGGACTTGAATTGGTGACCTTCCAGTTGCCAAGCCAAGTCCCAATGAACTTCGCCACCACCGCCTCATCTTATGTTATCTTATATCTGCAGCTCTGTGGTTTTCATATGATGATCATGACTCTACTCACGGTGATGTCCCTGCTGGCGGGTTTGGAGATCTTGATGTCCCGTCCCAGGACCCCCAGCGAGGCCTTGGACATGCTGGACCCGGCCACCGCGGTGTACTCTCCGGCGTCAGAGAGGCGTACCGACTGCAGCAGCAGCTGGTGGGCGAACTTATCTGAGGTCATCTTATATCTGCAGGAGACACAGCAGAGGCAGTCTGTCAGGAGACTGTTTGGGAAATATGTTCCTAGGCCCATAATAATAATAATACATGACACTTATATAGCTTTGACCCAGTGTATCAGTCTGTACTGCCCTCACTGAGCACCTGCAGCCTTGGGCTGCTCTCAGTGTTTTGTCTCCCTGTTCCTGCCTATATATATGTTTTATCTCGTTATGCACAATGTTGATTATTCTCTCAGAACTAACTAAATACATCAGAAATCACCTCCTGTCTGCAGAACATGTCTTGTGAATTCTCCGTCCGAAGCTCCAAATAAACCATCAGTGTTTGCCATTAAAGTTCCTGCTCTCTCCGTGTCTCTCTGAGTCTCCATTGCTTCAGAAGTTTCCATCACAGAAACCTTATTTTCCACCTCTCTGCGTGTCGGTGTGATCGGGGAAGGGCTTACCTGTCGCACATCTCCAGCTCCTGGCCGTCCTTCATCCACATCACCTGCACGTTGGGCTCGGAGACCTCACACTCGAAGGTGGCCCTCTTCTTCTCCGTGATCTTCATGTCCTTCAGGTGCTTCGTGAACTCGACCACGCGCGCTGCAGCGGACAGAGAGAGGAAGTCACATGACAGGTTTTCATCCAAAGCATTTTACATTCACTCAATACCGTAGGGATGCCTGGAAGCAGAGCAGAAAGGAACAAAGAGAGAGAAGTTACCCTCCACGTGGAGCTTGGCGGTGGTGATGGCCGACCCGGCGCTGAAGCTGTAGGCGGCGCTGTCTCCTCCGTGAACGTTCCTGATGCTCAGCGTGTGCATCAGCTGCTTGCAGCGCGCCTGGCAGCGGTCCGTGGAGCGGATCTCCACGCCGTTCTTCAGCCACTTGTACGTCACGTTCTCGTTGTTCACTGTCACCTCGAAGGTCACCGTGTCTTTCTCCTGAGCGTTCAGGTCGTGCAGCATCGTGGAGATCAGGATGGCTGCAGGACAACACGGATAGTTATGAAGCAGAAGGCATGATGTTTGAAATACTTCACAAATGAAGAATATTCCTAATTCCTGCATCTCTGCTCCTGCATCTCTGCATCTCTGCTCCTGCATCTCTGCTCCTGCATCTCTGCATCTCTGCTCCTGCATCTCTGCTCCTGCATCTCTGTTTCTCTGCTCCTGCTTCTCTGCTCCTGCATCTCTGTTTCTCTGCTCCTGCATCTCTGTTTCTCTGCTCCTGCTTCTCTGCTCTTACATCTCTGTTTCTCTGCTCTTACATCTCTGTTTCTCTGCTCCTACATCTCTGTTTCTCTGCTCTTACATCTCTGTTTCTCTGCTCTTACATCTCTGTTTCTCTGCTCCTACATCTCTGTTTCTCTGCTCTTACATCTCTGTTTCTCTGCTCCTGCATCTCTGTTTCTCTGCTCCTGCATCTCTGTTTCTCTGCTCCTACATCTCTGTTTCTCTGCTCCTACATCTCTGTTTCTCTGCTCCTGCATCTCTGTTTCTCTGCTCCTGCATCTCTGTTTCTCTGCTCCTGCTTCTCTGTTTCTCTGCTCCTACATCTCTGTTTCTCTGCTCCTATCTCTGTTTCTCTGCTCCTATCTCTGTTTCTCTGCTCCTGCATCTCTGTTTCTCTGCTCCTGCATCTCTGCTCCTATATCTCTGTTTCTCTGCTCCTGCATCTCTGTTTCTCTGCTCCTGCATCTCTGTTTCTCTGCTCCTGCATCTCTGTTTCTCTGCTCCTACATCTCTGTTTCTCTGCTCCTACATCTCTGTTTCTCTGCTCCTGCATCTCTGCTCCTACATCTCTGTTTCTCTGCTCCTACATCTCTGTTTCTCTGCTCCTGCATCTCTGTTTCTCTGCTCCTACATCTCTGTTCTCTGCTCTCTGCATCTCTGCATCTCTGCTCCTATATCTCTGTTTCTCTGCTCCTGCATCT